GAAAATTCCCAACATGACCACTAAACAGCTGGCGGTTACGAGTCCCGCTAACCGCTCGCCAGCTAATAAACTTATTCGCCACCTCATCAACTCACGACACACAAAACTAACAAACAACGTCTCTTTTACCCCTTACGCTTACGCCTCTTGCCCCCTCGAGACCCCTCTTTGTGTCCCGTATCCTCACTGTCAGTCCACTCAGCCTCTCAACCGTTGTATCGGTATCACTCCCGTACACGTAGTTTTGTCCGCATTGATGATCCTCTGGAAACCATAGGACAATCGGCAGACAGAAGCCCCGACCGAGTTTGGGATTCTTCCTCACAGGAGGTCGCTCTGAAAGCCCGACAGTCTGACTGGACCCGTTCGGAAGTGAGGTCATTGGTTTAGTCTCATTGGTTCTCGATCTTCCGAGCCGCCCCTCCTTTTCTCGCTGCTGGGAGAATTTCTGTTCGGGACCCCGTAGTGTACCTGAACCCATCTGACCAACTGTGCCTCGGACTTGCTTAGATTGGTGTCACACAGACGTGGAGAAATGGCAAAGATTGGAGCAAGAGAGAAAGAGAGGGGGCCACGGTCCCAATGGCGCGGGAATGGACGATAGGGTGCTGGAATTGTGTTTGGCTGTTGGGACCTCTGGCACCGAGGAGGTGGTTAGCTACACGTGTACACACACGCAGGTGTAGGTAGTGTGGTCGGCATTAAAGTGTAGCGGGACCGAGCCAGCCAGCCAGCTGGCAACGCCGCAACGACGCAAGTAGAAAGAAAAAAAAGCACCTTCATACTCAGAATACTTCCAGTGGCTGGAATGAAATGCATTGCGATAGGCATTCGTTGTCATTCAGTTCAGTGAACCCGAATCAACTCAGCTACCTTACCCGGACCCGTGGACAGTTACCGTTACTGTTGAAGTTCTCCACGGACCCGAACTCAAAGCGTCCGCCCACCTCCACCTCCAGCCCGAACCCGTCACTCAGTCACAGACTCCATCAAACCCGTTGAACCCGCCAGACCCCACCGTTCGGGCCCGACTCCCCGGGTCTGGATCTTTTTGGCCACTACTAGGGACACGTGTAGTGCAATGAGTGTGATGACATTTGACAAATTTACGCGGCACTGGCGGGATGAGCCTAGGGGTCTTAGGGACAGTCAGATGGACGGGTCTGGACCTGGGACTATTTGACAAGTCCGAGATATGCAAGTTTAAGTCCAGTCTGGTCCGGTCCCTGGCAGCAGTTAGCGAGTCCCTAACGTCGGTGCTCTACGCTAGAAGTTTGGGATGGAACCAGCGGTATTGGTTGGAGTGCAGGAGCGTTGGTTTGAAGGGCTGGTCTCTTAGTTCCCCCTGACATGAGACATGACTTGAAGTTGTATGATACCAGGGAGCGAGACACGGAGCGAGCGAAGCTAGGCTTATGGCCCAGAGTGGAATGGAGGGAGAATTACTTGAGTTCACTTCGTAAAGGCTGCTTGAAAGAATGAGGTAACTATGTAGATCTACACTATGTCATCTTTACATTTCCGACCTCTGCTGGAATTATCAACAACAAAGTGATAAGATCATCGCAAGACTCATTGGATTTTGAGAACTTTGTTTTGAAGGGACTGAAGTGTTGTGGTTATTCTTGGCTCCCGTCTTTGTGCGAAGATCATTGCCTTCCACGTGGAACGGTTGAAAAGTGGGCAGGTGGGATGACAGAGACGGGAAAGGATCACCGACCAAGCGGCGGGATGGCGGGTCAGGCGAAGGCGGCGGCGACAGCGGGGAACGACGGGAGAGCTTCAAAACATTCCAACGACGACAGACCATGTCTGGATTATCTGATTACCAGGCTTTGTGAACTTCGGCGATGAGCGCATTCTTTACTCTTTGTAAAATGGACTGGTATGGATTTACCGTATTAATTTGGCGAGAATTGGTCTAAATGGGTACCTGCAACGGGAAGGTCCCTTGAAACTTTGGAAGTGGAAAGTCCGTCCGGAATTGTCCTGTTTCGCGCCTTCCTTAACAACAGGCCTGGGTCAGATTTCACCAACACCCGGACCTCGTCAAAATACAAACCCAACCAGTGACGTTGGAAGCATTCCCGACAACCAGACAACAGGCAACGACAAGACAAGGTTCATGTTCGCAAAATCCCTTGTTGACAGTACCTTAAGTACGCCGCCCGGCCGGTTGGGTTCAGTCGTTGGCATGTTGGCAAGGGCATCTCGTGTTTACCGGGCTCATGGGCGGGCTCGCTCGCTCACCTTGATCCCTTGACCTGTCCCTTGGCCTGGCAAGCCTGTCCTGATTGTTGGGAATGTGGATGGAGTCCTGGTTGAACTTCCCCTTCCCTCTTTCCTGGTCGCTTTGGCTACGCTACACATCTGGTAACCTGGCTGCTTACCTTGGCCAGAATACCAGATGACCGGGGCTGCTGTTACAAATGCCTTTTGAGTTCCCCGATAAAGGCATAAACAATTCCAATGATAAATCCTGACTGTCGGAGTGCTGAGGGGGCGGGCGGCTAGGAGCTTTCTTTTTGACAAAAGGAAAAATGACTTGTTCCTTGTCCTTGTCCTTGTCCTTGACTTAACCTTGGCGATATTCTCCTTCCATGTCAGCCATCGCATCAGCGTTCGGGATCATCTTTCAGTGCGAACGTTTTCCCTTGCCTAGGAAGGAGGAAGCAGGGTTGATCTTGGTGACTGCCGTCTTTGATGTGACTTTTCTCTCCGTTACGTGGTCTACGTGGGAAGGAGTCATGGGAGTTGTTGTGGAAAGAGCGTGGTTTGGTTCAAATATACCGTACCAAATGCACTGCACTTTTACGAGATGCTGTCAATGCCTGGCCATTCAGCCCATAAGCACTGGTACTTAGCCTCTTCTCTGTTCACCGTTTCTGTTCCTTCTCTTTCTGGCATCCCGATGATCAAAGTCAAGCATCAAGCGCGTCGTCGTCGTGTAACTGACTTATCCGAAAGGGACATATTTGTTCCTTGTTTTACCGCCCTTGGTTTTCAGTGCTGGGTGTCTGAGTGAGCGACGAGCAACTGCGGAGAGGATATTCAAAACGGAGGTTCGCCTGAGGCCTGAATCTCGCATATATCCTCTAATCCACATGGCATGTGGTGGGGGTGGCTGATGATGGGATAACCCGACTGGTTGCGTCAAATGAAGCTGTTTCTCGCTCCCAGCAAGATGGGTAGGTAAATCGCCATGGCTCGAGGTTTGGGGAATGGCTCAACAAAGTGCGCAAGAAAAAGTTATGGATCGATGACTTGAGACTCTCGTGAACAGTGGCAGATCCAAAAGGGAGTTCACGAGTGGTACACACAGGCAGTGTAACAGAAGTGTAAAAGGCTTCTTGTCGGACAGAGAGGGGGGTAAGGAGCCGACTGTCAACCCGAAGTTTGACTTCTGAGTCCATCCACCAAGGCTCATGTCGTCAATCGTGTCAAGCAACATTCAAATAGGTCTTATCGTGTTCGATCGTCCTCCATCTCATCCCATTACTTCAAGACCCAAAATAACTGGAGGGTATCGGAACCAGCGCTTACGAACTGAACACCTCAACACCAAAATTGGAAAAACAGTAAGACGAACCATCACGGACAGATAACTGTCGAGCAACAGTCAACAATTCCTTGGCCAGACCCTTTTACCGCCTCATCATCATCGCCTCAGTGATCATCACCCCTCCTGCCATTCCCTCCTCCCAGCCCCCAAAATCAAATAGTCTTCGCCATGTTTGCTTTTCTATTTTCTATCTTGATCTGGCACGTCTGGGTACCTCCCGTCCCCCCTCTTCTTCCCAAACTGTCGGGTATGTAGGTAACTGCACCCGTATTTGGTGTAAAGTCATGCGTCCCGCCCGTTTGGGTCATTTATCGTCCTTCCTTCCCAACCCCGGACTCCTTGGTGCTTGTGTTTCCCACGCTCACCCTCTTTGCTTTCTCCCCTTTTTTTTCTTCCCCCTCGCCTCCACTTCTTATGAAGCCGCTCTTTGATTTTTTTTTCGTCTCTCCTTTTCTCTACTTGTCTTCTATACGACCTCTTGGTCTTGATCTTGGATGGCGTTTCTTGCGCAAAGCAATCTCGACAGAGATGGATATGGAATGGGCAAAGTGAAAGAGAGGAAAAGCCACCAACAATAACATGTCCCTGAGACAAACCACTTCACACCTTTCCCATCACTATGTACACTACCTGACTGGCCTAGCTGACCACTGGACCTGCAGCACTGTTGGGTTGGTCCCTTTATACACATACGTACGTACATACTGAACTTACACAGTACTGTACGTTTATCGGTTTGAGACATACATGCATCTGACACAGACAACTTCTCACACACCGCCCGCTCGCCCGACAGACAAAAGACAGACAGACGTGTAGGCCGCTCCTTCGGTACCGTATCGAGAACAGCGTGCAACAAGAGGGCGTCGAATACGGACCTTGACGACGAAGGTAGGTATGTATGCACACGTGTATGTGCAAGGTGTGTAACAGAACAGCGAGGGAGAGAGGAACGACAAACAAAGACAGAAAAGGAGACGGAGGCACAGCAACGTGTTCTGTTGCCACTGCAGTACTGCTGCTGCTGATGCTGGCTGAGCCGTCGGACCGTCTGCCTGCCTACTCCAACCGCTTGTTTCAGATTCTTTTCAAAACCTAAACGAAGGAAATGCTGCTGCTGCTGCTGCTGCTGCTGCTGACGATGCAGTGGTGGGTGACACGGCGGGCGCCATACATTAACTTAAACACGACGTGGTTGTTACGAGGCAAGAGGGAAGAGAAAACAGGGAAAGATACCACCAAAGACCGCTCAGCTGAGGACGCAACGCGTAAATTTTTGTTGTTGGGGTTTGTCTAGCAGACATGTGTAGTAGATTTCTTTTCAGAAAGGCCTAAGAACTTCTAAAAGATAAGCAACTCGACGGTCCGCGACAACACACAAGATGATCTGGTCCGGATTCCAAGCCTGAGATCTCGCAAACATGAAGCCAATCAGACACTACTTCTTGGAGAAGAACGACATGATGTTGCCCTGTCCCTTGGGCGCCGCCTTCTTCCCTTTCCCGGCCGCTGCGGGTGGCACCGAGCTCGCAACCTTGAGCTTCGGCTTGGAGGCTGGCGGAGCCTCATCCTCAGAGAAGGACTCCCATGCCGATTCCTGTATGGTGACTGTGATGATGACACGTCAGTATCCATGTCATGTAGCCATGCAGTGGCTGGACCTGTGCAAGAAGAAACTTACCCAGATATCCCTGATCATCCATGATCTGCTTCTTCTTCATAACCCTCCTCTTTCCACGCCTCCGACCATCACCAGTTGTCGTCACAATCTCTTTGTCTTCCTCCTTGGCAGCCTCAGCCTTAGCCGATGGCTCCTCGACGACGGGTTCCTCTTCCTCTGGGGCAGGAGAATCAGCCTTGTCTTCCATGTCCTCGTCTTCGTCGTCCTCCATCATTCTCCTCAGTTCCTCCTCGCGCTCCTTCCTGCTCTTCCGCGAAGATGTCGCGCCGGGTTTTGGCAGCGGGACGTCGTCGTCATCATCTTCTCCATCGTCTGAAAGAACAACGGGAGTATCTTCAGCAGCGGGAGTAGACTTTGCTGATGTCTTGGCCTTCTTGGGCAGGGAGGCGGCCTTGGAGAAGGCTTGCATAATACCAGAGACGGCGGAGGTGTTGCGCTTGAGGGATGGCGCAGGTTTCTTGGTGGCAGCAGCAGCTTGTGCTTCGGGTTCCGTAGCCGGTGTAGCGGATTTGCTCTCCTCCTTGGGCTTTGCTGGCGCGGCCGCAGGAGCGGGCGCTGGCGATGGCTTAGCAGGTGCCGTCTTCGTGGGTGCTGCTTTAGCCTTCGACTCCTGCTTGATGGGGGCGGCAGCGGCAGCCTTGAACCCCGATCCCCTTATTTCCCTTCGGCGTACGTGAGAGTTGACGATGGTACGGGGTCGTGGCTTCTTAACATCATCCTTGATGGCTAGCGCACTTTGGGCGGCATCGACAAGCAGCGTGAGGTCCTTGGCTGGGTGAGGTCCGATGCTGTAGACATGTATCGATGATACCGTCTCGTAGTCCCTGAGGACATCTGCTAACCGGTCCTCCTGGACAAGTGCAAGGGTGTATGAAGGCACATCGTCGTCGTCTACAGGGTCAGCATCGGGAAGCGAACTGGGCAAGTCGATGTCCATGGCGTTTCCATTTTGATGGTGAATGGACTTTTTGATACCGTATAGCAGGTAAGTGGCATAGACACTTCCAGGTTTCTTGGTGCTCTGGGTCTTGTGGAAATCATGAAGCATTCTATGTGGTGTAAGTCACTTGTTCTTGGCCCTGCTTCCCATAAAGGTGACGAGAGCTTGATATTGACTTACTGCTTAGCTACATTGGGGTGTACGCGCAGGGCCCGGCTAAGTAAGCGGTATGTGACCTTGATTTTTAGTCCGTTGTTAGTTGCGAACTTGCACTTTTCTGATCCAGTACCATATGGCATCAACTTGTGATCGGGTAGGTGACTTACCACCTTGTCATCACTGAGAACGTTCTCAACCAGGTACGTCTTGTAATCCTCCATGGCGAGAACACAAAGTTGGGTAGTCTCAAGACAGTGCTTCCGTTCTCGCTGATAGCTTGTGCTAATCAAATCTCGATGGAGTCAAGTTACTATTCAGAGAGTGAAGTGATGCTGAATGTCTGAACTCTGGAGCGCGTCGTCGCGTGAATTTGCCCGGCAGGCAATCCAAGAGCTGCCGCGAAGTCACGTTTGCGGCAGCTGTTTTAAGTGGCTCTCGCTGCAGGGGGAAGGAGCACCCAAAGACCAGCCGAAAGTGACTGACAGGCCGCTTTGACAGTCTCTCCTGACAGCTGGCGTGCACCCTGACGGACCACGAGTTTCAGTCCCGTCTCCTTCGCGGGTACTTCACTGGCCCAACGCCTAGCTCGAACAGCTCCCCCCGTCGTGGCATTGGTATCGCGAATCTCTAGCGGCCGAAATTTGGGACCACGAATCACAACGTCAAGCTCTGCATTCTCTTTGCTCTTTTCCCAACTGAGCTTTTGTTGATCTTCTTTGGAGTACCTTGAGGGCTGCTGTGACCCATTTCTTTCGTTTCAACCAGCTGTTTATGCTCTGATTCAAGTTCAAGACTGACCCTTGAACCCCTAACTTCGTCGAAATCCAACCCAACTGCTGCTGCGCCATGATGCGCCCGACTTAATATTTACGATTCGCATATACAACAAAGCTCGATATAATAATTGTACAAAATCGCACACACGTCCATCCCTGAGTGGCCATTTTTTGGCCTCAAATCGACTTAATCATGGCGGCCTTTCCACGGTTCAGGTTCCTGGCTATCGCCGTCATCTTCCACTTCGCCTACATCTTCTCCATCTTCGACATCTATTTTGTCAGTCCCATAGAGACTGGCATGCGCTTGTTTAATGTTGAACGACCCCCAAATCGTAATGCACCCGCGGATCGACTGGTTCTGTTCGTAGGTAAGTTGGCTATTCCGAATCCAACATGTTATGGCCAGGCGCTGATCGCATCATCATCCTTCAGGAGACGGCTTGCGTGCCGACAAGGCACTTCAGTCCCATCCCGAACCGTACCCCAAATCCGATGCAGATATGACCCCGAGACCTCTCGCCCCATACTTGCGATCAAAGATCTTGGAACAAGGAACCTTTGGTGTCTCCCATACGCGCGTCCCGACCGAATCTCGACCAGGCCATGTTGCGCTCATCGCCGGCTTGTACGAGGATGTATCAGCCGTTACGACAGGATGGAAGTTGAACCCAGTCAACTTTGACAGCTTGTTCAACCGCAGTCGGCATACGTGGAGCTGGGGTAGCCCGGATATTCTACCAATGTTTGAGCAGGGAGCTGTGCCTGGGAGAGTTGACGCCTATACATACGGACACGAGTTCGAGGATTTCTCGTCGGACGCCACCCAGCTCGACCTCTGGGTTTTTGACCACGTAAAAGACTTCTTTGCTGAGGCGCGTAGGGAAAAGAAGCTTGCAGAGGCGCTTCCCAGGACAAGATTGTCTTCTTCCTGCATTTGCTAGGTTTGGATACTACGGGTCATTCATACCGCCCTTATTCAAAGGAGTACCTCAACAACATCAAAATTGTCGATCAGGGTGTGAAGGAGGTTGCTGAGCTCTTCCGCGACTTCTACCGCGATGATAGGACTGCGTTCGTGTTTACCGCAGACCACGGTATGAGCGACTGGGGAAGTCATGGCGATGGTCACCCAGACAACACACGCACCCCCCTGATTGCTTGGGGCTCAGGGGTTGCCAAACCTCAACTGTACCCAGGTCAAGTGGCGCCCGGCCATGATGAGTATTCTGCGGACTGGAACTTGGACCACGTCAGGAGGCATGATGTTGCTCAGGCTGATGTTGCTGCTCTCATGTCCTACCTTGTTGGCGTCGAGTTTCCTGCCAACTCGGTCGGCGAACTTCCCCTGTCGTTCCTTGCTGCCGACATCAAAGAGAAGGCCGAGGCCTCGCTGGTGAATGTGCAGGGTATCTTGGAGCAGTACCGTGTGAAGGAGGAAAAGAAGAAGGCCACTGAGTTGAAGTATAGGCCATATCAGCCTTTTGGTGACAGCGGCCTTTCTCCGGAACGTCGCGTTGCCGACATTCGCCAGCTCATCGATGCCGGCCGTTACGAGGAAGCCATTGAAGAATCAGCTGCCCTTATGAAGGTCGGCCTTGGTGGCTTGAGATACCTCCAGACATACGACTGGCTATTTCTGAGAGCACTCATCACCATCGGTTACCTCGGCTGGATCGCTTATGCTCTTACAACGGTCGTTGATCTTCACGTCCTACATGGTCGTGTGCGGCCTTCGAGAACTCTTGGCGGAGGCCTGTTCTTCACCTCAGTTCTCGTCGCGTTCTATGCGTCTTTTGTCATCTCAAAGTCACCCCTCACCTATTACGCTTATGCCTTCTTCCCGGTCTTTTTCTGGGAAGAGGTTTGTGCGCGTCGCGCAAATGTTGCGGAAGGTCGTAGGGAATTGCTTGGCCATATCAACTCGGGTGGCAGTGTGGCCTCGTTTGTGCTCAACAGCGCGCTTTATGTTGGCGCCATTGAGTCGCTTGCCCTGGGCTACATCCACCGCGAGATTCTCACCATTCTCTTCGTGCTAGGTTCTTTCTGGCCTTTCACCCATGGTCTGTCCTTCCTCAAGAAGCATGGTGCGCTGTCTGCCACCTGGTTCCTCTCTTGTATCGCCATGAGCACCTTTACGCTTCTGCCAGCGATGAAGGTAGAGGACGTCAACCTCATGTTAGTGTACATCCCCTTGCTGTTCTCTCCCACTTACTAATATGTGTATAGTACGATCGGGGGCGTCTTGATGGTCGTCATCGGCCTTCTTTACCTTATCTTTGAGGACTTTGTCCTCGCTGACTTCTCATGGAACGCGAAGCCTGCTTCTAGGAACCACCTGTCTAGGTCACTTGTCGGTATCCAAGTAGGCCTCACTGTGCTTTCCATCATCATCACTCGATCCAGTGCCCTTTCGCTGCAGGCCAAGCAAGGCCTTCCTCGTGGCAACCAGATTATGGGCTGGGTTACTCTTGGTAAATTCCTGTCGTGGTCAGCGGCTGTGATTCTTCACTAACTCAAGCTCAACAACAGTCGCATCACTCCTCATGCCCTTGGCCTACCGTTTGCAACCCAACAACCACTACATGCACCGGATCCTTGTCATCTTCCTCACCTGCGCTCCGACCTTTGTTATTCTCACCATCTCCTACGAGGGTCTCTTCTACCTCGCCTTCTCCGCTCTTCTCGTGAGCTGGGTCCGCCTCGAACACGCAGTCCAGAAGTTCTCCTCCAAGACGTCACAGGTCACCACCAAGAAGGGAACTACATCCACCGAATCTCATCTCCCAGCCCCCTTCCGGCCCCTGACTCTCCACGATGCCCGCGTCGCCCTCTTCTTCTTCATCCTCCTGCAATCCGCCTTCTTCTCAACCGGCAACGTCGCCTCCGTCTCGTCCTTCTCTCTCGACTCGGTTTATCGCCTCATCCCCATCTTCGACCCATTCTCGCAGGGCGCCATGCTGATCCTCAAGCTCATGATCCCGTTCGCCCTCATCAGCGCCAACCTGGGCATCCTGAACAAGCGTCTCGGCGTCGCGCCCTCGGCCCTGTTCATGGTGGTCATGGGGATCAGCGACATCCTGACACTATACTTCTTTTGGGTGGTCAAGGATGAGGGCAGCTGGTTGGAGATTGGAAGCACGATTAGTCATTTTGTTATTGCGAGCTTGTTGTGCGTTTTTGTGAGCGCTTTGGAGCCAGTTAGTGCGGCGTTTATTGCTGGGGTTGAGGTTGGAGAAGAAAGTGAGATTATCGAGGAGGGGAAGGTGGCGGAGAAGGTGGTCGAGAAGGTTACTGAGGTTGTTGAGGGCTTGGTCGGTGGTGACAGTTGAGATACAGATGTGTAAAATAGTTGGTAGTATATATGATATGTGAGGTGGGGACGCTCAGCTAGTTGTTGGATAGTACGTATATGTGGTATATACAAGAAATGTTTAACACGCTCCGGTGTATCTCTTTGATATCGTTTCATCCTCCTTTGAGCGTATTGAACGCTTCATCAACATTGACACGCATCAATCAAATCGAACTCGATGATCAAAAGAAGCAGTAAAGAAGCATGTACATAGCTGACGCACATCTTTAATTGAACTTGCTTGTACGCACGTACAAAACCACCATTGCTGCAGCTGCAGCTGTACACAACGACATCAATGCAAGGCAGCCAGTCGTGCCAGTGTTGGATTTCCATAGATTGAGTAGGTACGTCGTTCTTTTGAATTGCATCGTTCCTTTTCATCTCATTGAGTCATTGACAGAAGGGTCCAGACAGCTGCAGGCGTCTACTGTAAAATGCGGTTCGAGCACATATGAGTATGCAAGGTAGGTATAACTCAGGTAAGGGTACGCAGGAGGCAGGGAGGCACGTCAGTCAGTACCTTAGACACAGGGAACGCACATCAACAGCAGGAGAGAATGGGATAGGTACAGGACTGCGCCATACGAAGAAGCAAAAAGAATCACTTCCTTTGTAACTTCGTTGATTTAAATCCTTTTTCTTTTTGAACATTGCAATGCTGAGTGTTGTCGTCCTTCAGAGCCTGGAAGCCCAACCAGGAAGACCAGCCAGAATGAAAGCAGTTTACTGCGTAGGTAAGGGTTAGGGTTCCCAAAAACCCCGAGACCTTTCTCCGCCTTCCCCTCACGGTCTCAGGCAATGGGACCGGAATCGGTATTCTCGCTTAAATTCCGCCCCGCCCCGCCCCCGTTTCCACAGTGAAATGGGGTCGGTGATCGGTCGGTGAGGGGTTCCTGGAATCCTGGGAAGTCCCGGCTCGGTGAGAATGCGGGGAGCAGTGTGGTCTGGGCGGACTGGGCGGAAAACCAGCGGCAGCGGCAGGGGCTCAGGGGTCGTGTAAACAAATTCCCACTTGGGTGCTTGGGTGAGGGGATGTGTGGGACTTCGGCGCACTTGCTTTGTGAAGGACGGGATGAGAATGGGGACCGTAGGAGATGGGGAACGGTCCGATCGTGGCTCAGACGGAAGATGGGAAATTCATTTGAGAGATGAAAGAAATGCGGGAGGGAAAGCTTGTGTCAAGCAGTAGTGTAGTGGTGTGGTTGCTGGAAATTAACGAAGATCTTTATCTACACTACTGCTGACTATTGGGGTGCTGAAACAAGGGGATCGAAAATCAATTTCGATGGATTCGGGGAGTCGGGCACCATTGAAGGCCGTTACAGAGGTGGGTGATGGTGTTTTACATAGGTAGTCAGGGTACAAAGTGCGAACGTTGAACATCGCGACAATTTCCATTTGGAGATATTTCTTGATGCTAATGGCCCTCCAGTCATCAACCCGGAGACATTTCCCCGGATTTCTATACGTCCCATGAGGATTTTCCTGGGGAAGGAAGCCTCCTCGTTTTTAGTGTTAGAGCCTTGGGCTATCAACTCGCTGGCGAATCACGACCAACGAAGAAACGAAAGACAATGGAAGATCGGACTGTGTGAGCCCCTGATAGGCGCAGGTGAGGATGCGGGAGGTCGGACGCTAACGGGCTGCACCATTCCTCTCTTTGACTCTCTCTAATGACTTATATACGAAGGATGGTGATGCTTGCGAGCTTTGCGAGTTTGCGAGTTTGTGATGGTGGTCGCGGACCGTAGTGGTCTGGTGTGAGTCGGTTAAGGCTGTTATTAACCAATCGCGATGAACCAAGACTTGTCGAACCTCTAGTTTGGTTTGGGCCGTCGAGGTACTCGAGGATAACCATTCGTCCGTAGTACCAAGAAGTTGAAGGAAGCTGAAGCTGAACTGCGTGAACTCCTGAAGGATCAGGTCATCTCCCTCACCACCAGGAATATCATTCTGCAACCAGCACCACTGCGGGGTAGCTGAGCACGCTGAACAAAAAGGGACCGTTCTAGCACATCTCTGTCAGCGAAATAGGACGGGAACTGATGATGGTTAAAAGTTTCGATAGTGGACATTGTGGAAAACGTCGTGTTCCCGTCTGACAGTAACGAAGGCCTAGAGAAATCCATTGGTGATCTTGTGGCTTTTCAAGGTGGAGGACAGAGAGGAGTCGTGAACGGGGTTCTGGGAGGAGTCCGTGGTGTGGAGGATGTCGTTGTTGGTTTTGGAGCCAAGGGAGATGCCGTCCCCCGGATTTCTGTGATGACGGGCAGCATTTCCCAGTTGGGGACGTTTCGCCGGCGGACCAAATCTCGGGTGACGATGATGGGGGCTCAATGGGGTTCGATGTGGGCACAAGGCTCCCCTGGAGAAGTATTGCCTCTTTTGCCGCACTCATCTCGAATGCTCATAGTGTCGTTGTGACTTGTAAGCAGAAGTCAAACCCAAAATAAAGCACGGAACACTTGCTCTTGTTATGTTAGCTCGCGAGGCTCGTTATAGTCAGGTCCTACTAACTAGCGATGGCTGAGTGAGTCCGCAAACAGGAAACCACCCGACTGCATCGAGGAGACAGCATGGAGCCACGAGGGCACCACGAGGCAAGAGACATTGGCGCATTCTGATGTCAATGTCAATGTCACCGGGAACCTCGAGTGACATCCAGCTGATCCACGATATCGGACCAACAGCAGAAGGCTTTCGTCTTGGTATTCGTTTCCTTATGTTGGAGTTCTCCGGGCAACCGTCGAGAATATGGGGTAGAAGCAAAGTACCTGTCACATAAAAAGCAGGGAGTCCAAACTGGTCCCCTTTTCACATGCAAAATAGGTAGAAGAGTCCCACTGCCCCATTCATGACAATGTCTCTGAGGGGTCCCCTCCATTCATGCGAACAGAGGCACGAGACACATCCTGAAGTTGAACAATAAGGAAGACTCAAAAACATTGTCTGTCATTGTTGAGACGACTGGGGAAGTCCTTGTAGGTTGGGCCGGATGACATTTTATGGAGTTCCATAACAGAGCCCCAAAACCCCAGAGGTCCACACTGTATTTCTCATCGGCTGTTATGTTTCCGTGCCTGTACCGGTAATGTACATTGAACGCTTCCATGAGTTCACACCTGCGAGAACGGAAAGATAGAATGATAACTCGCGCAGAACTAATGCGAACAACTGCGGGAATTTCTCCGTTCTCTGTAGACTTATTAGTAAAAGCTTTTGCGACGGGTAGCGTGCAGTCACAGAGGTTCGATATGTGCCAAGTTCCGTACATGTTCATAGGCCCCGTCCAGAGCAGCCCCCCTCGCCAGGCCGTTTTCGCGCTAGCAAAAGTGAGTCCGCTCAATCCGGGGATGACACTATGGCAGCGGTAGGCCTGCAATTCCCCTGTGCTTGGCCGCCTCAGCCTCCCCCGGTCCTCTGCTGACAGTGACGGCAATTGGTACAGGTCGCAATTGTTTCTCGCATCGGAATGTTCCCGCATCTGCCTTCCATACCTACCTACCTTGTTACTCCTCCAAAATCCCTTCCCACTTCTCCAATCCCCAGCTTCTTCACAAAGAAAAGCAAAGGAGGAACAAGCGACGAGTCCAGGGCAAGAACGGAACGCCCTCGACGCCCTTGTTCACGTACGATTCCTCTCACCTTTCCGAATCTTCCCCTTTCCCATACTTACCTTACCTACCTTGGCCTCGACCATCTCCAGTCCCCTGACCGTGGACAATAAAATCGACCTTGGTGCGACTGTGAACGCGGCCGCATTCGATCGATTTCCTGATATTTGAAACCGTATTCGCAATAGGAAGCTGCTACACCACATACAACCATCTTGTTGCGCAGCCTTTAAGAACCACCTCCAGCCAAGTCTAGGATACGAGACACGTCGGCTCTTCTGGTTCCCAAACCCCATCTACCACCCTAGAGATATAGCTTCCACTTTACGCCCACGTTGGACGATACCTGGTCCCGCCTGTCATCCCAGACACACTAAGCTCCGCGGCGTCCGAAGAGGAGCTCCTACGCCTCGATTTAGCGACCTGGTGGATAACTCGATCAGTCAGTCTCTCGTTGACGAACGGTACCTTCGAGAAAGCGGCGATCTCTGGTGGCGGCACACACGATACATCATCCAAACGAACTGGCTGGAGACGCGAACGTCCAAGTCATCCACAACGGTAGCAGCACCTAGTACGGAGTACGGAGTACGGCGTAGCACGGCAACACCTAGGTCCAGAGGCTGGGCAGTTCACGCCAGTGATAAACGAACCACGTCGATCGCATCCGGGCCCCCTCCCGTCCCCAAGAAGCAGCAACGCAACCACCACCGACAAGCGCAGCTCTTTCAACACTGAGCGCGACTAGCCATCTTCCCTGCTTCAACAGCCCATAGACGATTGCGTAACACCAGGCTTCCCCTCGTTTCGCCTCGAGGAGGGCGCAAGTGTATTTCCCGTTACCAGACGCAAATGGACATTGACACGGCCAAGGGAGCAACAATGGCTGCGACAGCGCCAGCAGAGAAGCCGACAATTGCTTCCGCCCCTCAGCAACAGCAACAGCAACAACAACAGGAACAACAGGATTACCAGCGGCAGCAGCAGCAACAGCAACAACAAAAACAAGGACAACCGCAGCCGACTCGACAACAAGTAGTTCAGCCAAAGCAGCAACCTCCACCGCTTCAACCACAACCGCAATTCTCACAATCGCCGACTCAGTCGAGAAATTCGCAATCGCAGTCGCCAGCACCGTCGCAAGCGCAATCCCAGGGCCAGCAGCCGCCATCGGCGTCGACAGCCACGGGCACATCAACCGGCCATATGAGTTTCAGGAGGTTGGTGCATTCCGGATTCCGGCAAAGACTGGGGAGGATAACGATCAGGAGCTCATTTTAGCTGACATGTCATCTTTCGAATGGAAAAAAGACAACGAGCCTCTCGAGCTTGCGAAGTAAGTTGCAAATGTGTATCTTATAAGTTCCTGAGGTCTTCTCCCTGCAATGTGCCCCAAAAGATAAAAGGGCAGACCACTGGCGGGATGCGACTCATTGCGCCGCATTTCAACCTCGAGCCTCGGCTCAGGAGCTATCGCGTTATCTCTCGTGCGAAACCTAGGCTAACCACCCGTCTTTGTAGACTTGTCATGCCCGTAAAGTACGACGCTTTTTTTTTTAAACAAAGCTTCCCAACCAATTGTCAAACCTCGGATCTGCCATATCACTTGTTTTTGAGTGGACATGGATGCTCACATCATGTCTATTACAGGTTCGCTGCGATGCCGCAAGCCTCGGTGTTCCGTGCACCAACTGTGTCGCCTTCTCCATCGAATGCCGCATCCCAACCCCCAAACGCAAGAAGACGGCCGCCCAAAGCACCACCACTGCCCCATCCAAGGACTCGGACAGGTACCTGCTTATTCTCTTGTTTCTTCTTGTTATTTGATTTTCTTCTGTTCCTTGCTTTCTGCCGACCACCTCCCCCTTCTTCCTGTTTTCGTCACATGTCATTCATTATCTGTGGTCTGCCTATGTTTGCAAACAACTAACACCCATCCCAGTGAGCGAGGAGATACCGAAGAACGGTCGCCGCACCAGGCCGGCACAAACAACACATTCCCAGCCGGCACCCGACCTGCCGCGGCCTATCACACCCAAGAGGGAACACCGACTACATCCGCCAACGTCGAGGAACAGGCGAAAAAAGAAGAGTACGATAATGCAACTCTGGCCAACTACATGAACCTCGTCATGAAGCCCAAGTTTACCAGAGCACCGATCACAGAGGCGGGGAGGGTAGCCTATATGGGCGAGTCCTCCAACCTCACCCTTCTCGTCCATGACCGCCAAAGCGACTCGGATGTGGTACACTATCCACTGCCGGAAAATGTACGGGGCAACAAGGCCAGGCTGTCAGAACTGGACAGTACCGAGATTGAAATCCTTCATCAGCGAGGCGCTTTCCTGCTACCACCACGGTCTCTGTGCGATGAGCTTATCGAGTCGTACTTCCAATGGGTGCACCCCATAGTCCCCGTCATCAACCGGACCAAGTTTATGCGGCAGTACAGGGACCCCAAGAACCCACCGTCGCTGTTGCTGCTGCAGGCCATGCTTCTCGCCGGTTCTCGAGTCTGCACCAACCCCCAACTTATGGATGCGAATGGTTCTGCAGCGCCTGCCGCTCTTACCTTCTACAAACGAGCCAAAGCCTTGTACGAAGCGGGCTACGAGGACGATCGCGTTACCATTGTCCAGTCACTTCTCTTGATGGGCTGGTACTGGGAAGGCCCTGAGGATGTCACCAAGAACGTCTTTTACTGGAGTCGTGTTGCTACCATTGTCGCACAGGGCTCTGGCATGCACAGGAGCGTCGAGGGCTCGCAATTGAGCAAAGCCGACAAGAGGCTATGGAAGCGTATCTGGTGGTCACTGTTCACAAGGGACCGATCAACAGCCGTTGCGTTGGGACGACCTTGCCACATCAATCTGGATGACTCGGATGTGGAGATGCTAACGGAGGACGACTTCATCGAGGACGAGCCGGATTGCCCAAGCGACTACCCACCGGATGAGACCCACGTCCAGTTCTTCCTGCAATACGTCAAGCTGTGCGAAATCATGGGACTGGTCCTCTCTCAGCAATATTCTGTTGCCTCAAAGGGCCGGGGAAAGAATGCCATCGATCTGACGCACAGTGACATGGCTCTTGCCGACTGGCTCCAGAACTGCCCAAAGATCGTCTATTGGGAAATGCGGAACCACCACTTCTGGTCTGCGTTGCTTCATTCAAATTACTACACCACCCTATGCCTCCTGCACAGAGCACACATGCCACCGAGTGGTTCTCACAGGTGGCCTGATGACTCGCCCTATCCATCGCGCAACATCGCGTTTCAGGCGGCAGCTATGATCACCTCTATCATTGAGAATCTCCAGTCTAACCATCAGCTGCGGTACTGCCCTGCGTACATTGTCTACAGTCTCTTCTCCGCGCTTATCATGCACGTATATCAGATGAGGTCGCCAGTTGCCTCCATTCAGCAAGTTACGCAAGACAGAATACGGACGTGCATGGCCGCTCTGAAAGACGTTTCCAAGGTCTGGCTTGTGGGCAAGATGGTGTTTACCCTTTTTGAATCCATTCTTGGAAATAAGGTTCTGGAAGAAAGGCTTCAGAAGGCGGCGGGCAAGAGACACCGTCGGATGCAGCAAGGTCTTGCTCATCTGGAACAACATCATCAGCATCAGCAGATTCAACAGCAGCAGCAGCAGCAGCAGCAGCAGCAGCAGCAGCAGCAACAACAACAACAACAACAACAACAACAACAACAACAACAACAACAACAACAACAACAACAACAACAACAACAACAACAACAACAACACCACCAACAGCAACAGCAACGTGTACATGAACAGAAGCGTAAATATGATGAGATGGCCATTGATTTCAGCGTCAACACTCCCCAGCCCCAAGAATCCTATGAGCGCTCAAGGCCACAAACGCCAAGTCTGACGACCAAGACGGAGACGACGCCCAGCACGATGCCGCCCCCTGTCACGTCACCCAATAATCAGAACGGTCATCGTCCTCCGAATGATGCGTTTATGGGCGGAACAGCTTCGAGGCCGCACACTCGACCCGCGACGCCGTTCAATCCATCCTTCTCGGTCCCAGCCACTCCACCAGATCTGTACCTGGTGACGAGAAACTCGCCCAACCTGTCACAAAATATCTGGGAGAATTTCCAGCCCGACCAGCTCTTCCCAGAAAGTACCAACATGCCGCTCTTCACTCACTTATCACCTACCCAACAGCATTCCAGCCTGGATCCCAACATGATGCAAATGCCAAGCGGGCTTCCCAATCAACCCATTGAATATACACAGGGCGTGAAGCGCAACCTGGCCGGCAGTCCGTTGCCAAACAATAATAGCAATGGGTTGCTGCAAGCAGGTGGAGGCATGCCTGGTCAGGGCCAGGGTCAGCAGGGAGGATATGGAAATAATAATACTAATAGCTTCTGGAACACCAACTTTGACGGGCAGATGGGCGGCAATGGGGCGAATGACGGGCAAAGCCCGAGTGACAGTTGGAGCAACAGCTCGGTGCAGGGACAGCCTGTTCCGTCGACGCTTAATGTTGAGGATTGGTAGGTTTTCGTTTATTGATGCTGCATCAAGTTCGGATGAAAGCAAATGCTAACATGGAATGAAATCTATAGGTTCCAATTCTTCGGGATCAATACTGACCCATCGCAGGGATTCAATCTTGACATTCCAGAGCTGATGAGGCAGTTGTAAGGCTGGTCGTGGCCCATCTCATGTTGAGGTTGCAGTATGATGACGATATGGTAACCACCGTCCACAAAATGGATGGCGCCGAAGTGGAATTGGATAAGGCATAGGCTAGCTACTTCTGTCACTGTATCTTTCAGCATGTTGAAACAAGCATTCTTCAACAAGACATTCGAAGGGAAACACGACTACGGTACTCTTTGCTGGATATGTATTTGATGAAGTTTTACAAGCGAAAACCGGTATAGAAACTTTTCAAGGAATTTGCAGGAAATGGAAGCAAAGCATACGAAGGGAAACATGAAGCCTCGAGCGCGTTAAACGAAGACTGTGAAAGTGTGAATAACCTCAATCAACTCAGTGACCCAGCCAACCCTTGTCATGGCGCTTCTCTCACTCACATGATCAACGCAACCCACAACTCAGATCAGCGCTTCCTTTGATCGTGCTTAAACAAATCTCTAATTTGAGTCACAGTGGATATAGATTCCATTTTAAGGGTCGACTTAAGGCCAAGCACATTTTTGTTTTCATTCGCTCATTCGTTTATTCGCCCATTCGCTCACCCTTTTTGACAAACGCTGACTTTCTTTCTTTCTGCATCGGCAAATGATGCACTTGCTGCTGGCCGCATTTCTGGCCGCACATCCGTCTCCGTCTCCGCCTCGAGGCGCGCGCCGCCCTCGCCGCACCTTGTTTTCACATCCATTGAATTTCGTTGAGGTAGTGTGGTCTAAAGGGCAATACCTAACAATGAGGGGGAAGCAAAGAAGGGGTCACAGTATCCGACCGTGACCGACCAAAATCAATCATATTTCATGCAAGCCTCATCCCCGGAAGCACCATCCAGTACCGACCAGTACCATCCATTGAGCGCGCGCTTCTGGAGAGAGTGCGAGAAAGGGGTTGTTGACCAATTATATCGTGGAGCAACCCCTTTGACGGGGATGGGGGTGGTTATGGGTTTAAGTATGTAAGTATGGTTGCGGTTACCATAACACTAAAAGATGTAAAGCCTCCCGGTGTCTTTTTTCTCTGTTCTGTTCAGAACCGATGGTGATTCGCAGTTATATCGGTCTTCTGTTGTGTGTCCCGCCAACAGTCAGTTCCTAATCTTGAAGATATTCGAGAAGGACGGGAGGCACGGGCAGTTACCGAGGCTTGCTGATGATGGATGATCTTGGCTGACCTGAGGCAACGAAAGGGGCAGATACATACACGTGTGTGGGCAATAACAAAGCCGTGATATTGATGGATCCCAGAGAGAGCTTGTGAGGGCTGCTGTTTCTCACGACCTGTCGATCGCCAGCTGCAAGATGTGATGTGATAGTGAAAAGAGAACACACCCCCAGGGGCAGTTAGTAGCGCAGCGCAGCGGGGTCTTCCATCGTCTCTTCACATCTGCTGTGAATGCAGCTGTCTTGAAGGTGATGGCACATGGAAAGAGATGAGGTTCGGTTAAGTTTATTCATCACTCATACCGTATCTTCCATTTCACTATCCTTCATCCTGACTTGGATTCTTGTCTTGTCAAGAGGGTCGTCTAGGTATCTTTCTTCACAATGAGAAGAAGTTGGCGGAAGAAGCGCGTCTAATGAAGGCGAAAAGAGGGGTAGGGCGGTCAAACCGTTGGGGGGCCACTAACAAATAGTGGGCGTTTCTTAGCCGCCGGCTTTGTATCTTTGTACCACACCCGTCCTGTACGGGTACCCGAATCACATTGGAGGATTTGTTTCCGAGGAGATTTAGGACCAGGACAATGATTGATTACATCGAGGTTATGAAGCACCGACCGAGATGGATGGTTTGTCAGGATTTATGAACCTTCCTCTCTGGTCTTATACTGGAGCCGCTTCTCCCCTTTGTTTTTTTTTACAGTCGACTTCCACTTGAACTTTTCGTTCCAGAAAACTTGGAAAAGCTTCAATCATAACTCAAATGCTTGCACTTCATATTGATCTTTCTCATCAACATCCGAGAAATATGCAGGTCTGAATCACAGCTGGAGAGTTCCCGGCCGGTGACGGGGGACGTGAAGCTATACGGGACCGTCTCCGTAGTTGGGTGGCTCCTTCCCCGGCAGCTGCCGCCCGCCCTATCACGCCCATTGCTGCCCGCCTATCAATGACCTGTCGAGCTGTGTACTTATAACGTATAACAGGGCCTGGAGGTGCCGCCCATTCGCTCATACGATGAGCGAGACCAAGACAACTTTGGAGAAAGTTGAGGTGACCATAAATAATATCGGATTTGTTCCATTTCATGCAACAACGCCTTTGTGTCTTGTCTCGTCAACCGTTGTCGTCGCTAGCTTAGTGATCAAGCCACCCGGCCACCTTTGGAGGCCCAAGCAGCAAAGTTCGCCTGCGTTGTGCCTGCACCTCACCAGTTCCCCGGATCTCCCCCTCTCCCCAAAAAAGTAAAAAGTCCACACCGTGGTTCTCGACTTCACGGCCCACCCTAGCACGACCAGGCCAGGCCACCATCAACGCTCATCACCACAGCAGGGCTCAGAGCAGGGCAACCGCCGTCCGCAAAGTACCAGGTACCCCTCCGCCGCACGCGAACTCTGACGACACAAGCTGGGCTGTTACCCAAAGCCTACACGAACACGCAACTCTGCCTCTCACAAGTTCCATTGTAGTCGACCACCAATTCCGCCTTTCCCCCAGTCTGTCACATAGCATCGGCAAAGTAGGCTTTGGAAAGCAGCATTCGTCACCCAGGACGACAACACGACGACGGCTACAAGACTTTGGATTCCAAGTCGCAGGACCAGGACTTCCGTCTTGTCTTGTCTTGTCCCCGCATTCCCGAATTCCATCGAGCCGTTTCTACCGAACCGAGACGCCCAATCCCCAGCCGCCCATAATCGCCCAACATGGTGCAGGCGCCCATGATCTCGGTGCCTCTCAAGGCCACAAACGAGATCGACTGGGTTGCTCCCCTCAAGAACTACATCCAGAACACGTACGGCGATGACCCGGAGCGCTACGCCGAAGAATGCGCGACCCTCAACCGGTTGCGCCAGGATATGCGAGGCGCCGGGAAGGACAGCACGTCCGGAAGGGACCTGCTCTATCGCTACTACGGGCAACTCGAGCTTTTGGATTTAAGATTTCCGGTGGACGAGAAGAACATCAAGATCTCATTTACATGGTATTATTCTCTCCAGCACGGCTAAACATGATCAATGCGGACGGGACACGTCGGTTTCTAACTATCGGCTGATTCTCTAGGTTCGACGCTTTCACCCACAAGCCCACAGCGCAACATTCGCTCGCTTTCGAAAAGGCCTCCATCATCTTCAACATCTCCGCCGTTCTATCCTGCCATGCGGCACACCAATTGCGAACCGAGGAGGCGGGACTCAAGACGGCGTACCACTCGTTCCAGGCCTCGGCCGGCATGTTCACCTACATTAACGAGAACTTCCTCCACGCGCCCTCTTCGGATCTTAGCAGGGAAACGGTCAAGACACTGATCAGCATCATGTTGGCTCAGGCGCAAGAGGTCTTCCTTGAAAAGCAGATTGCTGATCAGAAGAAGAATGGTCTGCTTGCCAAATTGTCTAGCCAGGCGGCTGCTCTCTACGCGCAGGCTGTTGAAGGTGTTCAGGAAAACGTCACCAAAGCCATTTTCGAGAAAGTTTGGCTGTCTATGGTCCAGGTATGTTGTGATGGCATCATGTTCGGTTCAGAAAGGATGCGGAGCTGAGGGCAAGACTGACAACAACGAAACAACAGATCAAGCTCAACTTCATGAACTCGCTAGCTCAGTACTACCAAGCCCTCGCCGATGAGGATGCCAACTCGTATGGCGTAGCCATTGCGCGTCTCGAGATTGCCCAGAGCCTTGCCAAGGAAGCGAACAAGATGGCACACGGTTTCCCTAGCTCAGTGCCCCCGAACTCGAATCTGACCTCCGACTGCGGACACATCCTGGCAGATGCGACCAAGAGACACCTCGCAACAGTCAAGGAAAAAACGACATGATCTACCATCAACCTGTACCTGCGGAGGCCAGCGTTACACCAGTCCCCAAGCTGCCGGCTGCGAAACCGATTCCCGTCAGCGAGCTATACGCCGGCCAGGACATTCAACGGATTACTGGCCCCGACCTTTTCGCGAAAATTGTACCTCTTGCGGTCACCGAATCGGCTAGCTTGTACGATGAAGAGAAGGCCAAGCTGGTGAGAGCGGAGACGGAGAGAGTAGAGACCGCAAACAGCGAGATGGCGGCTAGTTTGGATTATCTCAGACTTCCAGGCGCTCTTCAGGTTTTGAAGGGAGGGTTCGACCAAGATATCCTTCCCGACGAGGATTTCAGGACGTGGTGTGTGGATGTCGCGGACCACGAAAATCCCCACAAGATCTTCGAGTATCTTCATACCGAAAAGCAGGCCATTTCAACGATACTGGATAAGAGCAGCAGACAGTTGGATATGGAGGAAAGCGTGTGTGAAAAGATGCGGTCGAAGTACGACGCGGAATGGACACAGCAGCCGAGCTCAAGGCTGACTACGACGCTCAGAACCGACATCAGGAGGTACCGGGAGGCTTTGGAGGTGGCAGCGAAGAGCGATGGGCAACTTGCGACAAAGCTTAGGGCCAACGAAAACGAGTTGGACGAGATGCGCCAGGCCGCGTCACATGGAGAGATCGATGAGTTGTTTCAGAGAGCGGTCAAGAAGCTGCGAAAATCGAACCCGAATAGCCCTGCCACCGTCGAGCCGAATCTCTTGGATGCCGATTTTGATGACGGTGGCCCGAGTGTGGTTGAGCAGATCCAGAAGGTGGAGGATATTCTGAAGAAGCTGAGCTTGGTGAAGAAGGAGCGTTTGCAAGTACTACAGGATCTGAAGGCAAAGGTATGAAATGAATATCATGGTAAAGTCGTATGTGATTGATTAATGGCTGACAAAACAATAGGCACACAGCGATGATATCTCCCAAATCCTCATTCTCAACAAGAAGTCGATTGCGAACTATGAGCAACAACTCTTCCAGCAGGAACTGGAGAAGTTTAGGCCTCATCAGAACCGCCTCGTACAAGCATCGCACAAGCAGGCTGCTCTTATGAGGGAGCTTACAGTGACATTCAACAACCTCCTTCAGGATAAGCGAGTTCGTGCCGACCAAAGCCGATACGAGTCGGTACAGAGATCGCGCGCCTCCGTTATTAACAAGTACAAGCGTGCCTACCAAGAGTTCTTGGACCTTGAGGCGGGTCTGCAGAGTGCTAAGAACTGGTACAAGGATATGCGACAAGAGGCCGAGAGCCTAGAGAAGAACGTAGAGGCTTTCGTCAACAACCGTAGAGCTGAGGGTGCCCAGCTTCTCAACCAGATCGAGCAGGATCGGGCCGCCAACAAGAGCTCGCACGCCGCGATGGAACAAGAGCGGATGAAGAACCTCATGGAGCGCTTGTCCATGGACCCATCACCGACTTCCCCTAAGCCTTCATCGGGATCAGGAGGCCGCCCTACACCTGCTCCCTTGTCGTTCGCTCCTGCAGCTGTCTCCAACACGCCATTGACAGCCTACCAAAAGGCCAACTTTTCTACCCAGTATCCCGCCTCGCCGCCAGCTACGCAGATTGCCCATAACCCAGGGCAACAACAAGGGCCATACCAACAATATGACCCCAGCTCCCTCGGCCGCATCCCCGGTCCGGCCTCCCCACCTCCCAACCAAACAAGCTTCAACATTGGTCCCGGCCGCCACCCTGCCTCTCCGCCGCCGACGCAAACCTCCTTTGCCCAGTCTCGCCCTTACAGCCTGACGACGTACGGCAATCCCTCGGCACTGAACCCTCAGGGTGGGCAACCTCAACCGCCGCAACAATCGCAGCCCGGAGGATACGTCCCTCCAGGCTTCGTCCCACCTCCGCCACCGCCGGGACCCCCACCGCTGGGTCCTCAGCAGACGGTGCATTACGGCGGAAACGAGTATTATGCTGGTATGGGAAATCCGGGCATTGGAAGGCCTGGGTCGGCGCAGCAGGGACCGCAGGGGCAGCAAGGGTGGGGTCAACCGCCACAGCAGCAGCAGCAGTATCAGCAGCAGCAACAGGGAGGTGATCCATGGGCTGGGTTAAGTGCTTGGAAGTGAGGAGGGTGAATTGGGTTGTTTGTGTGTGTAAGTGTTGGATGGAGAGTGTAGCGGTACTTAACAGCGTATGGGGTAGGGAAGGATATAGGGATGAGCAAGAAAGTTAGCCGAGCGGTAGGCAGTGGTCATTGGTTATTATTGGTTATTAGCAGGAGATTAGACAGAATTCATTGGCAGCACTTTCTTTTCCTGTTCGTTAGTTCAGGAAGCTTATTGAAGTTCGCTGTATGGGATTGACGAGAAGGGCGGAATTATTGAAGTCGAGATATGGGGGTTTCTCTCCTTTTTCGCATTATTCAGCATGGCTTTGGAGTGGTGAGCCGCATGTGCGTATTGATCTTCATTTGCCATGGCTCCAAGCTGCTGCATGGCCTGTCACGAAGAAACTGGGAACAGGGGAAGTGGGTTGGTGAAGGCCTGGTGTGTAAAGTCGACAGGCACGAACAACCGGGTTGTGCAAGGAAGGAGCTTCACTTCATATCGTACGGCCCGCCCCGCAGTGGCTGAACCGTGCCTACAGTACCTTATGGACGGTGATCTTGCCGGGTGATCTAGATCCAAGGTGCATTTCTCGCCCACATTTTTCGGACGTGGTTAGGGAAATTGCAGGCTGAAACTCCTATTCGGATACTGGGGGCATCATGCAAAATCTGCATTTTGACCGTTAAGGTGAGTGATGGTTCTTCTTTGTTGGTCTTTTTGTTACTTTCCTTCCGAATTTCGTTGTGAATGGAACTCGTTTTGTGATAAAATGCTCACCCTCGAAGCGACACTAGATCAGGCGTTCGGATTCGACGTGTCGATTTGTTCAACATCCAGGTTCAGTAGGCGACTAACCTTCCGGCCTTGATACTTGCTGTGGTAGTTAGCCTTGTCGGACCGCTGGCTACCCTGGTGCTCTTTTGGAGGTGGTGGGAGTCATGTTGGGAAGGAAGTTCTCTTTGTGTCCTCTGACCAGCAGCGAAATCTGAAAGAATGAGAGTGGACGGTCTGTTTGAAGGTTGTAGTAGTAACGCTTCGGTTGATGAACTGGCTGAGTATTTCTGTTGTCAATGTCAAAGGGCTGCTAGAGGGGGTGAACCGAAGATACATTATATGGTGTGGGAAATGGTGGAATGGGTGGTGGTGGTGGTCTTTCCTTTTGTGGTTATCCACGCGGAGAAGGGAGAAGGTGATTGTCAAGGAAAGAAGGGAGGGCTGCTGCAATGAGGTAAGGTATTCTGGGAAGAAAGGAAGAAATGTGAGAGAAATTCATGTTGAAACATGGTGCACAATCCAATACCGACTTGCTTGTTAGCTCAAGGCCTCGTGTCAACTTCCCTGGGTGTTTTTGTATTTAATTCATACGTCTCTTTCTGTGATTGAGGCCTGATCAATCTTCAATAAGCCAATTTCCAATTTGCATATGTTTTGAACAACTCTGTTAATGCGTTATAAATCCGTACACACCTTAGGCATTTCATGTATGTGTTTAAATCATTTTCGTATGTCCTCGCACGGCCTTGAATAGCTCGGGATACATTTTGTCCAAAATATCAAGTGTAACTTTTCAGTAGTAGATTGTCCACTCCACGAGATCATCATCGAATTCGAACCTCCCTAGTCTCAAGATCATACAACATATTGCCGGAGTCTGAATAAAAAAAGTTCTCCGTGATGAAGGTACTGGCCAGACGCTCATAAACCAGGCCGTAAAAGTAGGAAACGATAGGTCCTCACTTCATCCGGCATTGTTTTCCATGTCCTATGTAACAGCAGAAGTAGCAAACTGCTGAGGATTCTCCCTTCGCCTTCGTCAACGTGTTCAGGAGGTAGGAATACGCTTTTATCCTGGAGGTGAACAGGCGATGTAAATCTCCAAGAAAATGTATTTCGTACGAATTCATCCGTATTCTCTTTGCAGGTCAGCTCCACGTTAACCACCCTGCCCGTCAGTACCAGGTAAGTGGGAATCTTCCCAGAATCCGACAGCTCTGTGATTTGTAGATGATCCGTCGTCCAGTTCATATCCTTGCCATCAATGCAAACCTTTATGGGTGGCTGGATTAGACAGTCGCTTTGGTCATAGAAGAGATGGCCAAAATACTTGAACCCCAGGCACTCGCATGCGAAATCATATTTTTTGGTTTTCTTCCACCCAGCCCATGTCCAAGTCGGAAACATAGTCCTTCGTGGACTTTCCTTCTCATAGTCAGTTAGTTTGGAGCTTATAGTTTGACTCTCAAAATGACTGGTAGACTGCGACCATTTGTCCTCCCACGCCAGGCCAGAGACAAATTGTGCCGTAGCAAGGTCCATATTAGAATTCTGGTCGACCACAAATCTCATCTCTGTGAAATCTGTAACCGAACCATCATCATTATCATTGTTGTCGACCCATAACTCGATTTTCTCCGCAGGAACTGGGTTGACGGTGGTTAGTACGCAGAGGAATCTGATGCGCCGTTTGTGGTGACTGGATGTTTGATAGAGCTGGAGTATGCCTCGTATAGCATCCAGAGTGTCGCTATCAAAGGATAGTGTTCTGTGAATGAATAAGGCAATTGTCCACCAGATGTTGCTTTCCTGGCGCCACTCATTCGAATAGGGAAATACGCCGCATACATTAGCGGGAACGAGATCCCACAGCGGCTTGTATTCCGAGCTCTCCATATCCCGGCTTATCCTCTCCAACGCTACCGTTCCTAGATCATTTCGCAGTAGCCTTGGCGGTTGAGACAACTGCTCGGATTTGTCCATAACGCAGTATTGAAAGTAGACATATGGATCTGTAAACACAAGGCGTCGCTTTGCCAACAGCCCTTCTTGGAAAGTCCACCCACGGGTATTTCATATTGAAACTTCAATATCCCAACCCGGGGAGCGGTATAGTATTGGGTGTAGTTGGCCATTGCAGACCGTCGTAGACAACTGAGGAATACGCGGCCTAGAACTGACACCTGGCAATCCAGATTCGGGACCCATCTCACTTTCCGGTGCTACAATGATGGTCAATATGGACCATGAGTAGATCTTGCCCATATTTTGAATTTGAACATGCTTTGCCCGTGCATCGTTCTGTGGGATGCAGTATCGATCTACCCAGAAATAGCGGTACCCCAGGTTGCGGACAACGATGATAGAATCGCGAACGACATTGGGCAGTTTTTCGGCTTTAGGCAACGCACATTCGTTGTTCGGCGTAGTTGAGGTGCTCGAACTTCCACATCCTCCAGATACTGCGTCGGCGGGAATAGGAGCTGGGTTTGGGCCCCAGACATAGCTGAGAGTAACATACTCCCGCTCTGCTGCCTGCGAAGCTGGGACAATAGTCCTCGTGAAGCAATCAATGAGACGAAGTTCAGGGAGGCTTTCGAACGCGAGTGCCCACTGGCTCTCAACACAACTGACGTGCGTTGATGTACATAACTTCAGCCACTCTGTGACCAAGCCGTAATCAACTCTTTTGACAAGGACTTGTCTGCCTAAGACAGTGTCACAGGGGGACGTACTGTGACGCAAGTCATTGCTAGCAATAACTTTGGTTGGAAGTATGAGGTGAGCGCCGACACGAGCGCCCATGTAGCCCATATTAAGAAAGCCCCCTCCTTCTATTATCCCTGGCGTATTGGAAGAGGTAAAAGTCTTTACCAGGTAGTCGTATTGGTCGATTTGAAGAGCTACCGAATCGAGGGTAGTGCATCCTGGAAGTCTTTCAGCTATGCATTTATCGTTAAGCTCGCAAGCTTCCGATACCAATCCAGTTCTTATCCCAAGGACTTCTTCAGGCAAGAAGATTCCCAAGGCCCGAACAGAGGCGTCGGAAAATCCACAGAGCGAGCAGGTATCAGTGTGCTGCATGGTGATCTTCCAAAATCTCCGCCGGAGTGACACTTCTGGCTTGACGCTGAAGATTTCCTCAAAGTCCAGTTGACTGCACTCTGGACATAAAAGACCCTCGGCGGGTTTGTCAACATTGGATATGTCTCCAACCACGCCACTAGCAGCCGGGGATGCAAGCCTTCGTCGACGGGGGCGATGGGGTTGGGCAATTCGCCTTGTGAGGATGGACGCTTTTATCGCCGCTGCGCGCCTATTCCTGGGCGCTTTTCGTGTCTTGCTCATCATGGAGATGCGTTGTAGGGGTTGGAATTGCAGAATGGCAGTCGGTAAGCCTGACTTATTGGAGTTTCGGCTTACAACGGTACATTCAGGAAGGGTTGAGTCTGTGTTTTCTGAGTTCACAAACAGGGCATCGTCGCATGTGTGGTGGTCGGAAAGAAGTGGAAGAAGGAAAGGGAAACTGACAGCAGGATCAAAAGGATTTTCATGCAGCCTGCCTGGCCCAGCCTCATGCTTACGGGAAAACGACCTGAAAAGCGCAAGAGGTCCAATGTTGATGCCGTGCCTGCCAACAGACCTCAGCTACCAAACACTGCCTCTTATAGCTACAGCAGGCTTCACCACACAAGCACTTCTTGTCCAATCCCCACCAATAATAATACGAATAGTCGACGGTAAGTTCGGCCCCGCCTCAATGCCTTTACCCGCGAACAAGACCTTCTCCTTTTTGCGCCACACAAAGCGCTGAAACTGGGCATTAGGCTTGCAGCTGTGGTTGATGAATCTCGTGAAGTTTCCTCTCCTCCCGTGCCATATCTGGCACTTCGATTGCTTTCGAGTCCGTGTACCAGATGCGCCCTCACTGTCTGCGGTCGTCATCTCCAGCGTCCTCGTCTCGCACTCCATCACGTCAACATTTCGCAATCCCTTGGTGATAACTCCCACAAACTCGCCGATGCCCACCCCCCGCTCGAATGGACACAGCGCCAGCGTCTGCCTCGGACCATCCAAAATCCTAGAATGCCTCGGCAAGGGCAAGCTTCCGGTGTTTGGCTGGCATGATGTCCAGGTCACTGAGGATATGGGCTCGGACGTGGGTGCGTCGAAGTGCTCCATCCATCAGGCCTGCTCGATAACTTCGAGGGAGCGACAGGTCCGGCAGGCCTGGGTGACTTGCCGGCAGACGATGTTCTTTTGACTGAATGTCTGAAGCGCTTTGGCGCTCCCAGTTCTGCCATTGCTGGTTGGCAGTAACGCATTGCTGTTCAAGGGTGTGGCGCCAAACCAGGCTGTGAACTCGTCCAGGCCTGTGGTGATGCTGCCGTGGATCCCCTCCCCTATGCCAACGGCGAATTTGTCGAGCGTTGTTGGTTTGAGCGGAGGAGTCTCGGGATGGAGTGGACGCCGCCTGGGAAAGCTGCAGTGATCGACCTGCATCTGCCTCTGGCTGTCGTTGTCATGGCCGGCTGTACCTGTAGAAGAAAGAGGCCTGAGAGAACGTGTGATCTTGCGCTCTTGCTCAGGTGACGATCCTGAGTATCTCTGGGTCATCACAAATACGTTTCCGGTCGTCAGCGACCGAGCTTGAGACATGCGTGATCGAGTTGTCGACATGGTGCTGGGGAGCCTGCGTCTGCTTTGCGAGTTGCTCTGAGCCATGGGTGCTCCTGAGTATCAAGCAAGAGAGCCTTCCATCCCTCGAGATGAAAAGAAGTGTGCCTGCACGATGAACAAGGGCAACTGCGTTGGGTAATCGTCTCAGATATAGATAAAACTTGTCCATCTCTCGCCCGAAGACGTGACTTGTCTTTTTCCCTTGTTCTCGCTGTCTTTACGATGATATCAAACTACATGTACGCGTGCCCGATCTTTCTCAGTAGTAATAACGTCTTTTGTCCTCCCACAAACGCCTTCGTTAATCGACAAAACACCTCCGCTACCCCCATCAACATGAACCAATAATGTCTGACACCACCTCAATCCAACTGTCGTCGACCCAGTGGGGCCTGGCCGCTGCCTTTTCCTTAGGACTATACATCTTTGACAGATGGTCGGCAAGGCGCACCCGCCCTAGCGTTGTCGAAGACGCCTTGCTGTTCGAACGATGTATGTGGGCATTCCTACAAACGAGACGTGACACGAGAGGTTCTTGCTCCACTGCTGGTATTCCTGGTGCCCACCCTCCGACCCCGAGAACGGGAGAAACAAACGGGCCAGAGAAATGATTGCGTTGGTCGAACTTATCATCAAGAAGAGGGAGAAGGAGAGAAGAGATCCTGAACTCGTCAGAAGAATTGTGGCGGAGGTCCAGTCAAAGCCGTAAGTGGAATTTTAACCATTTGCGTGAACTTCCTGATGGTATCCCGAGTTGCCAATATGTCTCTTTTCGTGCTGATGACTCTTGTTGTCAGGCCGCAGGTATTGACGACCGGAGTACGCGAGAAGCGCTGGTCGCAGTGGAAACGCATCATGAGGGATGTCGAGGGGGGCTATGACGTCTAAACCAAGGAGGAGAGAGGGGTGAGCGGTGGGTGGAGGGTGTCTGAGTGATGGCATGGGACAAAAAGCATGCCGATACAGTCAAAACAATTATCATATACCGCGGTTACGTGGCAGGAGTCTATTAGACGAAGGTCAGACTACTGAAACAGTGTGCGGAATTCAAGATCAAACCTTTCTTACCCCTGATCTGTGTTCAAAGTGCCGTGGCCGGAATAACCTAGTAGTAGTCTGGATTGGGATGCCGCACGAGGTCGCGTTCCTGATGATTAAGGGCGCTGGACCTATGGTGCGGCCCGTCGTCTAAGTACCGTTCGTCTACTTCCTTTTCTCTCTTTTCGTGTTCTGCCTCTAATAGGGAAAGATATTCATGGTAATCTCCTTCACGGATCCAATAGCACATTCCTTCTACTGAAGACCACGTCGCTTCAAGGTGGATCTGCTTCCATGGAATCTTCGCCATGTAGGAGTAGAAGAACAAGGCCATTTGGATCCGAACCATGCCTCTGGTGAGGTTAGATCGCACCCGGTCTTGCTCTTCAAAGTCCGCGTAAGGCCTGCGCAGAAGACGGATCTGCTTCAGCATGTCGTTCTCGTTGACGAGGGGAGGGTGCAGCTTGGTGTGGTATGATCGATTCTGCATGAACATGCGGACGTGAAGGTAGACAAGATGAGTATGGCTTGTACAATGGCCCAGGTGTAGAGGAATTTCAGATCGATGGGGATGCAGTCGGTGTCGGTTGTGCAGATGGGACTGAAGAGGGACTGCCACCAAGTCATTTTGTCAACGGCGGCGTCGAAGTTCGATTGTTGTGGGCTGGAAGGTAGGTTGATGACTGGCATCGCGAAAGGTTATTCAGACCGGCTTGAATTGTTGTTTTGGTTATGGAGTCTTAGCTTTGGAACGATGGGTTTGGATCAGAGTAAGGAAGAAAGTAAGAATGAATGAGAGAAATTGTTTTGTAAAAAGAAAGTTGAAATAGAAGCAGAGGAACAAAAATAATGAGGGGTCGGCAGGGCTTAATATTCATATGGCCGTCAGAAACTCCGAAAGGCAATGTTATGCATCAGCCGAGGACACGTTCCCCTGACTGCCTCTTGTCCGCATGCAAAGATACGAACTTGCATGCCCGGGACACTCAAACAGAACACCACCGCCCACGGTTGCTTTGGAAGCAAAAATTACTTGGTTCAAAGCTTCGAAGCTATGTATGAGTTTGACGCCCTTTTAGTGGGACTGGTTATAGGGAAGAAATGCGTAGAGATCTTGAGTCCATGTGCATGTTCGTGAGGAAATACTGGTCTGGGTTACAGAGATCATTTTCAATATTCTCACAAGCAACAAAGTCAAACAAGATACCTACCAGAAAACGACTTGCAACAGTCATTGACTTCATCATATTTGGATAGCATTGAGTACTATCGTCGACTTTGCAGTTGTGATTATTTTTTTTGTTAAACGAGAGAGCGACTGTATGTATGTGCAAAGGAGGACAAAGCAGACCTTTGACAGACGATATGTCACAGCTCGCGTGATTTGCGTATACAAGATGCTCAACCAAGCAAATAAGCACATACGACCATACCCACTGGAAAACTCGGGATCCCGTCCGCTCTCCCATAGATAAGCCAGTGAGGGCCTGACTAGTAGTTGGGTCGGTGACGACCAGCGAATCCCAGGTGTTGTATGTTGTTTTTTCCCGCCCTTTTTGCTCCTACCTTTTCGCTCCTACCTTCTCCTTCCCTTTATTTTCCCTTTTCTCTTTCCCCGTTTTTTTTTTTGGCGTTGTGGCTGGCAGCGTTGCTCAGCAGCAAGATAGTGTTCACAACTGAAATGGAATGGCCCGTGTCCTCAAACACAATGTATGCATTGATCTGCGGACCCCTGAAATCATTGAGCTGCAACAGTAGGCGATGCCATCACCACTCTTTCTATTGCCGTCACCACTTTGTGTAAATTAAACTGATGAATAAAGAATATAACCACTTCTACTCCTGTTACTTTCGATAATTCGGTTTCCTTTCCATCACTCACCAGACGTTCAACAACCTATTCACTGCATCGCCGCAAAAAGTATCAAATCAGCATCAAGCTCGTACCTCGCACAACGAACTCAGACGCTACGAAAGACAAGAACAACAAACCCTTTTTAAAACCAACACATAACACAACACAAGCATGATACAAAAAATGTCCCGCCTCTTAACCCGCCTCCCCAACCGCGCCCGCCTTCTCCCCGTGGTTCCCCGCCGAATCATGGCGACCGAGCTCGGCACCTCCAAGTCCCCGCAAAACGGCCAGAAGGGCTTCGTCTCGATCGGGTCGCAGACGCAGGGTGATTCGCCTTCGAACCAGGCTCCTACTGAGGTCTGTCTTTTTCCCGTTTCGACGAGTGGAAGATACCTTCCATCCTCTACACCGTTCTGTCGTCGATTCGAGAAAAGCAGCTATGTTTTGGCTGCTTTGCTGCTGTTGACGATTATGGGAATGGTATGTGCTGACGTTGAAATCTTGTGTAAAACTAGTCCGGCCAGAAGCTTCAGAAGGAAAGCAAGGGCAAGCCGGATGGCATGAAGGGTGATTCGGAGGAGGCGAGGGCTGCAGGAGATAGTCAGAAGGCTGATTCTGGTCAGAAGTGAGTGGTGAAGTGTGGATGAGAAGGTGGAGAGGAATTGTACGATATGTGTAGGTTGATTGTGGTAATGAATCGATGATAAGGATATGATGGCTGAGGAACGGATGGTCTCTGACTCGGTTGTATGCTGCCATGTTCACCGAAGAAAATATTTGATCCGAGTTCACATCTCGGACTACCGGAGCGGACAGATTTCTGGCTGGACCGATCAAGGTAGGACCATGAATGAATCAAAGTCTTTTTGTATACGTAGATGACAATGAGTTTTGTTGAGATATGTAAGTTACAGCAATAATTCCTTCCGACTTTCCCATTTACTGGCGAGGGGTAGTCAGCCAGTAGATAGAGTAGATAATCCCGCTCTCCAAAGCAAATGTTGCCATAACGACCATATGAAACGCAACCGTAACCCCGAAAACCTTGAGGTACATCTTGACCAGTCTGGACCATCCTTCCCTCCCGAAAGTGGTCAAGGCGTCCCGCATGGTCAAGAATGTCTCGCTGCCGCCACCCAGTACCGCGGGGTCCAGCTTACCCTTGAAAGACCGGTCAAAGGGGACGATGGCGTCCTCAGTGGGCGGGAGTAGCGACGCTTGCACGCGCACGAGGATGACTTGGGTCGGGATCACGGCAAAAAGGTAAAGTAGGATGGTAAGAGCAGCCACAGGAATGCCCTTCAGTAGAAGCATAGAAAGGGGGAGGTCCATATTGGGATCCGAGGGGGAGTCCGAGTTGGAATCCGAGTTCTGGTCCAGGTTGACTGGCAACCCAAGTATAAAAGCCAACAGGCGAGGGATTTCGATCGCGGCGACACTAGCAGCCCAGTGTGCTAGCAAAGGCAAGGCTGTGGCCTTGAAAACATAGCGGAATGGCAGAATGCGGCTGTACCACGGGCGAGCGGAGGGAGGCGTGATGACGATGTGCACCCAAACGGTCGACAGTTGCGTGAGCAAGACAGTAGCGATGAAGCTGCCGACGAAGTGTGGCAGGAAGGTGTAAACCGTTATGAAGGCAGCAAGAACAACTGTGCAGAATACAGTTATAAGCGCGCAGCCCAGCCCCTGGAAGTAACCTTCCCGGCGCCAAGTCCAGAGAAGGCGATGCGTAGCGTGTAGTGACGAGGTGATGGGCTTTGGGTTGGCTTCGACGACCTCAAATTCGCCCGAGGGCGCAGAGTCTTCTTGAGTATCGAGTGGAACGGGCGTATATCCAGGCGGTGGGTTGGGATCTTCGATCATAGCCAGCGTTGGGAAGACCGTGTGCGCCGTGTAATAGACCTGTGTTGTTGACGGACGGTTAGCGTAATGGACAGAGAGATGTCACGTCCATGAACGGCGACTTACTCCGATGAAGGGGAAATGAAGAAGATGGCCGTGATAACGTATACAGCGAGAGGAAGCAAGGCGATAACGGCCTCGTCCCCTGAAGCTGGAGGCCTGCTGCCGCCGGGATTGCTGTTGGGATCGTTGACTTCCACCACCTCAATATACCTCTTAGCGAGGCTACCACCCACGGCGGCGATGTGGTGTAGCATATTGTTTATGCGGATGCGCTCGATCGTGTGGTATCGTTAAGGAGACAAGAGATGATGCAGGATTCGAAGGGCGCGGGATTGTGAAAAGAAGGAGTGAGAATGGTTGATTCGGAACAAACAAGAAATATCGATGGACAAGACTTGTCTTCCAGTTCGGTTGCAAGATGAACAAGTGGCAAACGATGGATTATCGGGAAGGATGGACGAAGCGAAACCACATGGAACCTGAAAGTGTATAAGAAATGAAACCAGAGGCGAGGCAGTGCAGATTGGGCGGGATGATCGCCCGTCTTATAAGTCATCCGCAAGGGCCGGACTGTTGCTGACGGGACAGGGCATCCTTGACCTCTACGATAGCGTGGCCCGCCTGCCCGCGTGGCCAGACTATTAGGTAGCGTTCCATCAGAGATGCAGTAACCGCCAACAACACCCACAAATTCTAGGCAGGCTATGAGACTTTAGGAGTCATCACTGGGACGTTCCATAGTTCTCGATGCACTGCCCGTCTCGGGTTTCCGAGACAACGGGCAACATGGTCAGACTGGAGTTGACCAACTTACACGGGCCGATTGGAACAGAGACAAGAGGATGAATACAAGACGAGTCGGATCGTCGACATTCTTTCAGCCTGCTTTGTCGTACCTCATTCAATTTCTCTCTTCCAAGCGCCGTGAAATCCCATGAAACTGAAGAGCCGTTTGGTAACAAAGAATGGATAAAAATAATGGAAATGTCACATCCCGCTTGATCAGCCAATTCCATTCCCCACTACCCACCTACCCGATTAATTCGGCGAGCGGCCCCGCTGCTCGACCCGCAAAAGTCGCTAGCGCCAGGCAGCTCCTGCAGCCCAGGCTGTACCCCGCTGTCCCGCCTGAATTTCAGTGGGCACAAGGGCACTTGCAGTTTCCAGCTAAGACGCGGTCCTGGCAGTGAAACCACCTTACCCCTGCAGCACCCACACGGCCACACGCACCGTACAGGTACAGCAACATCTTGGGCTGTGACGACGTCAGAGCTCCTCAACACCAAAACGGGGAGCTCGCATTATCTACACTCAACCTCAAACCTCCACCCCAACATCGCACAATACCACAACAGCTTACCTCATGTCTGGGACAGCACCCTCAATACCGAACCTCCTCACCCTCCGCGGTCGAGTCGGCGGCGGCGGCGTCACCCAAAGGGGCCGTTACCGGGGCGTCATCCACCGGGGAGGTCGTGGCCACGGTCCTGGAGCGCCCAGTGCCTCGGCAGCTCATGATGCCACGATTCAAGGCACCGACACCGACGCTGCCGTCTCCCGTCTCAGCGCCGTCCAAATAGGCTATCTCGACGATCCGTATGCCGAGCTCTTCGCCCAATCCGGCCCCGGTGCCGCCAGACGACTGCCCATCATCAACCGAGGCACCTACGCCCGCACAACGGCCATCGACAAGCTCGTTGACAAGTTCCTTGACGACACCGAGAGCTCATCAGAAGGGAGACAGATTGTCTCGCTAGGCGCTGGCACCGACACTCGCGGTCTTCGATTATTCTCCCCTTCCGCGCCCACGCCTCGCAAGCGCGTCATCTACCATGAGGTCGACTTCCCCGCTATGTGCGATAAGAAGCAGCGTATTGTCCGCGGCGCACCGCAGCTGCGGTCGATTCTCTCCGACCCGGAATCCATGGAGGAACTGGCACAGCACGGCGGTGGAAAGTCGTGGCATAGCAAGGCCGTGGCGGAAAAGCACGAGGGAAGCGAGCTGTGGGTTCACGGGCTAGATCTCCGTGCCATTGCGGCCTCGCAACAGCCTCAGAAAACACTGCCGCCAGGAGTGCCGGTCGGATCTAGGGGACTTCACGCTTCACCCTCTACCAGTAGTTCGACAACACAACAAGAGGAGCAAACAGAGGAAGAAACACAACCCCGACAAAAAGAAGCATTGACACTGACATCGCTCAAACCTAACCTTCCGACACTCATAATCTCCGAATGCTGCCTCTGCTACCTCCCTCCCTTGACTGCTTCCGCCATCCTGTCCTTCTTCGCCACTACTATCCGATCTTCCTTGGGCATAGTAATCTACGAGCCCATCAAGCCCGACGATGCCTTTGGCAAGATGATGGTCTCGAACCTTGCCGCTCGGGATATCAATATGCCAACATTGGAGGTGTACAAGGAGGCACACGATCAAGAGAGGCGGTTACGGGAGGCTGGATTTGGAGGAGAAGAAGAAGGAGGGGGAGCAAGAAGTAAGACGATAGTACAGATTTGGGAGGAGTGGACGAGTCAAGAGGAGAAAGAACGGCTAGATGCGCTGGAGGGGTTGGATGAGGTTGAGGAGTGGCAGTTGTTGGCGGCGCATTATATCGTTGTTTGGGGATGGAGAGGGGAGGGGTTTGATCTGGGGATATAACCAATGAACTTGGCGACCACTGAGTTTAGAGGGAAAAATAATGTTAATCAAATACCATATGAACTAGCCATTGAAGACCTGGCGGCCCGATGATTGTGTACATCCCGTTTCGGTGGGTCTACGAGCAAGTGTCTGCCGTATATCATGAGCTTTGTGTCCAGTGATGTTTATGTTCCAAACCCCAGCCAGCAGGTATGTTTGGGGGGCTGTTACACAGTCCTCATGGTATTTCACAAGACTACCGCCGGTGTGATCTTCGAAACAGGAAAGCGGAAGGTTATTCTGTTACTACTTCTATATCATAAGCTACAAAGGCGATGAAAGAAAAAGCCCGTTAGGGATGAATCCTCGGCAAGGTGTCAGTCAATCCATCCACCATAATATTATCATTTAAGTTGCCCAAAAAGACAGAGCGAGTGGGACGAGCCGCCGCTACTGATGAATTGACCCTCAGTCTCTACTCCGTCCCATTATAAGGCCGCTCATTTCAATTATTATAGTCCTAAACCATTTCGCGCCATGGCGCCTTTACTCCATCATGTAATATCGTCCTTACTCAAACAAAAAAAGCAAAAAAAAGCCCGTCAAACACCACCAGCAACACTTAGCTCCATGTATTCCAATTCCTCTTCCTCTTCTCCTCCTAGAACAAGCAAGGCCGTGCGCGGATCGGTATCCTGGATGTCAAAAGCAAGGAAACAGTCCGTCCGTCCAAACATCCCCTGCTCAAATAATCAACAAATCCGTCTTTGGCGGCAATCTCGTTCCATTCAACATGGCCCTCTTCTTCTTGCTCGGATCCTGCAACCTCCTGAATGCCTCATGAATGTGTCGCGGCTCGACGGGCGTACGTCCCTCTCCGGGCGGATCAAACAACCCCTTGGGCAGCTTCCGCTTCTTGGTAGGGCCCGCCTCACCCGTGCGCAGGAGGTCTTCATGGTCCTTGATCTTGAGCGCTTCCTCAGTGATACTCTGAACCATCTCGAAGGTCAAGAAACCCAGGATATCGACGATATCGTCCGACGGCTTGCTATCCGTAACCTGTCCGAAACCGGCCCACTCCCTGAAGCGTTTGCCCTTGCGGTAGGTAAAAGAAGCCTGCCGGAATTCTGACCAGGTGACGTACTCCTCCTTCGTCATGGCCTTGGTGCGTTCGTCGGCTTTGCGCAGGCGCTGGAGCGTGATGTAGTTCATCTCTTCCTCCTCCTCGTCTTCTTCGTCTTCGCGCTCGGGGACTTCGACGGCGTAGAAACTCGAGGGTTCCCACGGGAGGCCGACTTTGGCTTTTTTGTTCTTCTTGGCTGCGTCGTCGACGGGCCCTGCTCCAGGGACAATACCGGCAGCCGCGGAAGGGTCCTCGCCGGCCGCGCCGATGTCGGCGTCGCCGCCTTTGTCTTCGCTGTCTTTGACGTTCTTGCGCACGTCTTTCCAGGACAAGAAGGTGCGCAGGCGAGAGACTTTGGGCGCGTCGTCACGGATTTGGAAGATCAGGTCGTTGATGGTTATGGAGCGGGAACCGCGGCGGGCGGCGAGTTCGGTGCAGTTCTTGAGCTAAATGGGGGAGGGTGGAAGTGTGAGGTTTGGCTTGTCCTGTAATTGCAGAGGATGGGATCAGAGTGGGTGGTAATAACTTACCATCGAAATAACCTGCTGGCGCACAATATCCTCGATGATGCTCGTGGTTTCAACGGATGGCTCGCCTGTTTCTCCAGAGACGTACATCATCTGACGAACATTGTTAGTGAATCGGGCAATGAACTGTTCCTTTGTCTCCGCTCGTTTCTTCCAGTAGGGTTCCCAAGGGTCTTTTGGGTATGGGTCGACGAAATCGTTGATGCCTCTACGCTCCTCTATCTCCGCTCCACTTGAAGGAGAGATTATGTTATTGGAAATTGGATGGCACGGTCGCTTGGCCTGGTTTTCTGTTTTGAGCTCATCAAGGGCATTGTCGAATGCGTTTTGGAAGAGATCAAGTCCGTCACCAATTTGGGTGACGGAGGAAGAGGAAGTTGGAAAAGGACTCAAAGTAGGGGCGTCCCCCATGACTGTATCTTGCTGACTGGGGGCTGAAGGTATGATGATCTCGTTATCGATCTCGTCATCCCATTCGGCATCCAACAAAGCGTCATCTGGCTGGGTGGTCAACCCTGATGGCTGAACCGGCGTAATGTTCTCAGCAATGGATGGCTCTTCTGGAAGGTCTTTAGACTCTACGTCCACGGCAATAGGCGGAGAAGTCCGATCTTGAGCGGAAAACCAAACCTCGGCGCTATCAATGGTCTTGGTCCTGTCGTCGCTCGATCTACAAGAGCTCCAGAAGGTATCGACGGCATCATCAGGAACATCAGATAAAGGACTTCCAGTTGTAGATTTCAGACCTTCGTTTTGAGACTGAGGTGTGACTTCCGGTGGAAGCACCGAGGCAGAACCAACTTTGTCACTTGTGGCAATATTCTGCGACTCAATGCCTGTAGTGATCTGGACCTGCTCCAGAATCTCTTGGGCCTTGACAATGTTTTCCAACGCCTCCTTCAGCGCGGTAGACTGGTCAAGCTGTTGGGTCTCAATGTCTGAGCTCTCACCCGGTGTAGCAAGATGGACTGGTGGCGAAGTAGGGCCTTCCGATGGTCGATGCGGGACTGTAGTTGAATCGTCTTCCAGCGAGTTTTCGGTAGACGCTAAGTCTCCTAGGTGTATGACCCGCCTAGACATATCGACATCCAAGAGCGGTTCGGACCCGCTACTAATAGACATCGAAAGAGGCGAGGTGTTAGACAGCTGTTGATGCTCTTCCAAGCCATCTCCTGGGTGTGTGCCTTCCTAAGGCACATAGGCACTCGGGAGAGAGTCGGGCCCATTTCTTATGGACATTGAGACAGATGACGGTATGGACAGTGGCTGATCCTCCTCCATGTTGGGGCCAGAAGAATGCTGGAATACCGATAGTGTCTGGGGCCTGTCCGAGACTGAGGGCCCAGATTGAAGGGGCTCCAAGTCCTGCAGTGGTTGCTCAGAGGTGGTCGCTAAGGCGGTGCCGGAGTGAGTGGCAGTGTCTGCGGATAGAAGTTGTGAAGACTCGCCAGGACTGTTGGTGAAACTCCTTTCTTCTATGTTTTTGTTTCGAGGGCTTCCTGCAGAGAGGCGACGTACAGTGGTGTCTAATGGTGATTTCTGACTTTCCATGGTGGAGACCTGTTGCAGCTGTGGGCCGGAGGACCTGGTAGGAGGCCTTCCTCGTGAGATCCGAGGGGTGGGATTGCTCGCTGAGACCGTCCTCTTCGGTTTTCTTGACGGCTGAGGAGTATGTGATGGCTTCGCCGATTGTGACGGCTGAATGCGTGTTGAACGCCGCACAGGAGGCATGGGGTCGGGCTCTGGGGAAGATATGTCCTCCTTCGCGGTCGACGCGACGGTTCCAGAACGAAGCCTCATGGTTTCGGCTTTGTGAGACTTGTCGTGAATTGTGAATCAGGTGAATGGTCGCGCGATGTGGATCCAGCTGCGTGTTCGAATAGTTTTGTAAATGTGGTGGGCGAATGGCAAAGGAAAAAGAGCGAATTATGCTTTGCTGATAAACGAACAAAAGAGTTGCCGTCGGTTGCGAGAATCGGTTGCGAGAATGGAGGAAATGGCCCACGCATTTGTTTTTGTCTAAGGCCGAAGTGAGGTTGTTTTGAGAGAGTGTGGTTCGAAGCTCCTGCCGTCCCTAGACACCAAAATACCGATTTACCACGCGACCCGGTAACCGAGCAACCGGGCAACTATTGAAGCTGGCGAGCAACCGCACCGGCGAAAAGCAGGAACCACATTTCTCTACTTAGGATTTGTCCTTGAGCAATGCAAAACACCCGTTTCGCCGGGGCTCGACGGTGTTCGAAGTGTCCATATGATCGCTCGTCATGTCCAAAGCCTTTCTTCAACACCTTTAACCGCTTTCCTGAGCTGCACCAAACAGTCCGTAATTTGGGAATTCACATTTATAAAGCAAAAGCGTGCACGGCCACAAAGCGACGAGAGGAGGATGCAAAGCACGAAATATGAGCAAGGAGAAGATTTGAAGTGAGCCTGAACACTTGCTAGGTCACTTTGCTTGCAAAACACAACTGTCATTTTGCGTGCAAGGTGTGTCACTAACCTGCTGGATTTCCTGGCGGTATTTGTACTGCTTGTCCTTGTCCTTGTCCGCCATCTTGATTGATCTTCAAAGGGTAGCAACTGGTTGTTTGAGTCGTCTATAAGTTGCCTTCTTCTCAGAAGCGGTAAAAGTGTCGAGAAGAGAGGCCACGCGTTCGATTCTGAGCGGGGTACAAAAAACTGTCGACCAGACGAAGAAAGTATTGGGAAGTGTTGGGTATCAAGGTTCGTGAAGCAGATGACAAGGAAAAGTTAAGTAAAAGGAAAGGCTGGGGAGGATGGAAATTCGTATGTGGGAAACTGCAAGAGTTGGGTGATGTTCGGTTCGTTCTTTCCCGGACGTCGTTGAAGTTCCGGTAACCAACAAGGTATCCGGTATCGTCACGTGATGCACACAGGGCGCAGAATGTTCTTGGACCATGCGTCGACGGCGGCTTAGAAGAAACAGTGACCGGGGTTGACTTCTCATCTTGTGAGACATTCGAGCGGAATCATAAGGCTGAGTCGAGTGAGCCGACCTGTGAGATGTATTGGACTGTTGAGTGGTCGAACTCAAGAATCGAGTAACGTGATCAGGAGGTGGCATCGCGAGTGCAAAAAAGAAAAAGAAGGTAGATCTACCTGGAAGAGGCTGTTTTTGCACCAAAGATGAAGTACTGTGTACCTACCCTTCGTATACGGTCCATTGCACATGGGTTTCTTATAACAGCCAATGACCCTGTCGATCCGCATGCGGGCCCACCACCTGCCCCACACAAGCTGTGCTCGCTGTCGTCCCGTCTCCTCCAACTTCACGACAACCTCGCCAGTTGCCTAAACTCATCATTCTATCTTTGACCTCATTGTCCGTCCTTTATCAGCCGCTCGTATTTTCGTCGCCTGCGTAGTCAATGCTTTTTTCTTTATCAAAGCAACCACACTCAAACCACCCCTTTCACATTTAAGAAATGCCTCCTGCCGGAGCTGCCTTTGTGGTACGTCATCCCAGCTCCACCTAAAGCCCACCATAATAGGTGACGTCTAGATGGATAATGAAACTTACTCTGCACACAGGCCAAACTTAAGGTCCAGCTGAAACTGGCCATTGCCAGACTGCGCATGGTCCAGAAGCGGGATGAAGCCCTAGCCAAGACCCAGAGACGGGCTATGGCGCAGTTGCTCGATGTTGGCAAGGAGGACTCGGCCCGCATCCGTGTCGAGAACATCATCCGATCAGACATTACGACCGAGCTTCATGAGATCCTAGAGCTCTACTGTGAGCTCTTACTTGCCCGCGCCGGCCTATTAGAGGCGCCTACATGCGACCCCGGTCTCGAGGAGGCCGTCAAGAGCATCATCCACGCCGCGCCCAAGACCGAGATTAAGGAGCTGCACCAGGTACGGACGCTGCTCGCCGAGAAATTTGGAAAGGAATTTGCGCTGCAGGCCGTGGAGAACTCGGACGGCAAGGTGTCGGAGAAGGTTGTCAAGAAGCTTAGCGTCACGCCACCACGGGAGGAGCTTGTCGTTGGCTACTTGGAGGAGATCGCAAAGGTGTATGGCGTGAACTGGCCGAAGAAGAAAGCGGACTTGGGCGACCCGCCTGACTTCATGGACGACGATGAGAACCCGAGTGGTGGACAGGCTCAGAAGAACCTCGAGGCACCTTTGAAGGCGGAAGATAAGGAGGCCGAGGCTCAGGAGGAGCTCAGCAAGGCGACGCCACCAGTGTCATTTGGACCTGCGAGCCCTCTACATGTTAACCCACCACCGCCATCGACCGACAACATCCATCCCAAAGTCACGCTTAACCACCAACAATTACAACCAAAGTCGCCCCCAGCGGGTGGTGGGGTTGTCAAGAAGACGCCCGCAAAGGGGAGCATCGCTGACGGCATCCCTGATGTGGATGAGCTGGCCAAGCGGTTTGCAGCTTTGAAGAAGTAGAATGGTTTTGGATGTCAAATGTACTTTGACAGTCGTTTCGTGGTTTTGCAGAGTCAAGATACGAGGTACGGGAACGATTCTTTGCAGCGGTTCATTGTCGGCCTATGACTTTTCGAGCGAATCATTATCATTTCTAACATTCTCATATCTGGACTACTCGCTTGGTTTTGACTGACCCGTTGAATACCGCCTTGTTGGTGATATGTGACCAGCCGACTTCTTTTGTTTCCTGGATTACCACAACTTCCCGAACCACCGTGCACTTGGTCCTTTGACAGTACATATATCACTTCTCGCATCAATATTCCCGTGGCAACCCATTATGATGGTGCAACAGTCATGGCTGTCGGTCCCTCTACTTGTCTGGGTTATAAACGCCTCAGACCCCATGACGAGTAGTCCCATTCAATGAATTGAGCCCTCTAAACCTTCCCGTACCTTCACACAAACGTCCCTGCCGGCCGCAATTCTAACTTCCATCCCATCTCGCTCCCGCGCACCACCACCAATCAGTCCCCTTCTATCTCTACAGCCGTGCCAGAGGGTACATATAGTAGTTCCAACACGCATACTTCCATCACAGAGGACTGGACCACCCGGGCCCCTGAACGGTCGGATAATGTTACGGTTACGGTGTTGGGCGGCTGGGACCCGCTTCAAGCTGCTGATTCACGTGTTCGATTCAGGGGTGAGTCCTCTATTATCCCAAAATCTTTTACTCTTCTCTCCCTTTTTCTCGTCAGTTCTTCTTTTTTGTATGATCAGCTGCGATCAATTCTTCCTTCCTGTCCTCAGCTTCTGTGCGCCCAGCGAGCTGCAAGTCCACCAACCCTCCTGATATTTTTCTTGCCAGCACTCCTTCTCCTGGACGCTGTATTATCATCAATGGAAGTCTGCGATGATGCTCGCGAGTTGCACGTTAATGATTAGCTGCTTGAAGGTTCCTTCCTGCGTAGGTGAGCTACTTAGCTACAGACAGGCGTGATAGATGGCTCTGTCGACCACGAGAGAGGAAGGTGTCTGGCGATGTTGCGAAGGTCGCTCCTTCCGTGTTCGGCGCCTAAACATGAACGTTTGCTCTTTCCCTTCATCCCAACTCTTCTCTTGATCTCGCACCTGACAGCAGCTGTCTCCTGCAACCCTGATGTGCTCGAACTTACCGTACCAACGAATCGACGCTGCCTAGATCAATCGAGTCCTTTGGCTTCCTTCCACAATTCTACTACCCCGCTGGGAGTTTACTAAAACAAGATATCGCAGATACAACAAGCGCATATCGCGAAGCCAAGGTAACTTTCTCCTATTAATCACGCTTCCCTCACACCTAATCACTTCATTCTTCATTTTGTGCTTCACGGGTGGAAAACAAGCAAGGGCCAACTTGTCTGCGCCATTCACTCACACGCGAACCTGGACAATATTGCGCAGAAGGCCACTCCTCGAATCAACTATTCTTGTTTCTCTTTTCAAATACTCAACCTGATGAAGCCCAACTGCCTACCTGCAGCATCTCTCTCGAATCACGCATTCTTGCATGTTTAGCACTGCGACTGTGCTATCGACTGAAGATCGCCTACCCTGTGGCTTGAGATTTGACGCTGACTATCACGTCTGTCGCAGGCTTCCTCGCGGGGAGAATCCTGTCACAGAGCCGTACACGATCGACCGCGTTCAGAAACCTAACCGGTACTCCTCTCCACAATCGACGAAAGGCCTGGAGCAGGCGCCTGATCTGCTTCGCTTGATCTCGCAAGTTGCAAACAAGAGCTGACATCTCTTCCACTACCCATTGATCGACGATGGGATACAAGGAGGAGATGGCAGTCTTTGCCAGGCGGCTGGGCCTTCGGACACTTGGCGAACTCTCCCTGAAGGAGCTTGCTGAGTGTATCGAAAGCAGGCCAGAGCCAACCGCACGGAGAACAAAGCTCTACGCCTTCATGAAATGGCTCAGCGACCATCTCCTTGAAGTTAACAGCTCTGACGAGGAGTCGTTCAGTCGCGAAATTGCAACATGGTGCCAGTTTGTCAATAAAGCGGGATTCGCCAGTGACAACGTGGTCGGAACCTTTGAGGAGTGGCTTGAAGAACATCGTCAGGTTGAGCCGCTTAGTGCTAGACGGCTCGACATGGCGGAGCTTGAGATCAAAAAGTTTTACGGTCTTCCTATCGAGACACCCCATGGGCTTGGTCCAGCAAGCGAGCATTTTCAGCCGTCACCTCTAGCGGAAGAGTCTTTCCAGCGGGTTTTCCCAGTGAATGAGGCACCCATAGCGCCGCCTGTTGAGGGTTTTGGACACATCCACCCCGATCGTCTCAAGCTGTCCAGCTACGGTGACAGTAACTCCGAGAAAGACGAAGTCATCGACCTAGATGAATGGCGACGTCCCATCGTTGACATCAGCTCTGATGAGGACGCAGAGCCGAAAGCAGATAATGATCTGTCTTTCCTAACTGGATCAAACCGAATGGTGTTTGGCGCCGATGAGACCAACTCAACCACTGAACCCCAAGAAAAGAAAAAGAATAAGACAAGAAGCAAGAGGTATGGGCCAACTGTGGCTCAAGGCAAAAAAACGAACAAGAACCGCTGCGGTCGTTGCAGTATCTCTGGTATGTCGAACTCGTCTCTGTGAGCTTCAGCCATGCTAATTAGACTTCACTCACAGGACATTACCATATGCAATGCCCGACCAACCTCGACCCGACCTATGACAAGAGTCCGCCCGATGATTACAAGTGTAACCTTTGTGGCACATGTGGTGTCCATTATGCGACGGTCTGTAAGAGAAATATGCAACCTACATCGCTCACTCAGCAGCGAAAGCGCTATGCCGAGCAAAAGCGCAAATTCCACTCCAGAACAGGTCCGAGTACCTTGCCCTTGAGGGAGCCAGTTGGAACACGGCATACGAGGAGGGAAAGATCACCACACAGGGAGCTCAGAGACAGACATCACTACGATAGGGATAGGTCGAGAGAGAGGAGGAGGTCTCGGGAGAGATACAGAAGGTGTAGCAGATCCAGATCCAGATCTCAGTCTCCTCCCCGGCATGTTCTACGAAGACGAGACAACCACCGGGCCAACAGGGAGTATCGGTTGAAACACTCGTCTCCCGAACCGAGTTTTCAGGAGCCAGAGCTATCTTCTCCGTTTCATTCTGGAGGCCTGGACCATGATGATTCCTTCAAACGTATCCCCGATGCGCCATATCGGCCTCTGTTTTCACGACCCGCGGATATCAAGATTCGAGGACGGGGAAGTTCTTTCTACTACGATGACGACCAAAAGGGATCTATCCCAGCTCCAGCCTACGGAACTGATGACCTAATGTCCCGTAAAAGGCGCCGGTCGGAAGAACCGGCGACCCGTCAGGACGATTACGCTGATGGTCCAACTGTGGACAAGGGTTTCCTCCTCACCGAGCTGACAGATTTAATTGCTATGACCACTGTCTCGCCTCGAGCACAGGCTCCCATCAGGAATAGGCTGCCGGAGGTGTTCAAGAATGATTTGCGACAGTCTTCCTGGTTTTGGGACCTTGGGCCGACCACTAACGCCACCTTGATCAAGCCAGAACCAGTCCCGGACGTAGTACGGGAGCCCTCGCCTCCCGTAGAGCTGGGTGTTACAGAGAAGAGACTTGACGGCCATCGTAGTACTCAGTATCACCCCGTCGTCTTGGAGCTGTTCAAGAACCGGAAGAATGTCTGGCTTCACAAGATCGACAAGGCCAAGCGCGTCCAAGCGTCGAGTTTCTTCAGGAACAAAGACCCAGAGGAGAATAATGTGGATGTTTCAGCTGATCCAAACGTTGCTGTTGTTCCTGGATCAGTCAGGGACACAGTCATGACAGAAGCGGAGCCCGTTGCTACGCCCATTGATGAAGCCGACACTGCCGTTGCAGTCAACATTGAGACCAAGCCTGATGCCATGCTGACTGACGACCGGCAGCACGCCGACTCTACGTCGACCATTGACGTTGTGATGGAGAATCCTATGACAATGCAGATTCTCCATCGCGACGAAGACGAAGTCACAACCCATCAACCCGACGCAGACAGTCGGGTTGGCTTCAAGCCAGCTATCGATGCCATTATGGAGGATCCTGAGCCTCTTGATGTCTCTGAAGCAGTTGATGTCGTTCAACAAATCGATGTCGTTGCGATTGTCGATGAGATCATCGCCGAGGAGGCGGCAAAGACTGCTTCTGAGGCGGTTGAGCAAGAGCCCCCTTCTATTCGGCTTGCGGCAACCTCGGAGACGCCTATTGCGCCAGAAATAGTCAATGTGGCTTCGGACCAGATCGCTGATGTCATTCGAGATGCCGATGCTGAGCAAGCGACCACAACAGATGACTGTGACAACGCCACGTTCAAGAAAGACACGCAAGTTGACAGTGACTGTGTCGGTTATGACACGGTCATCAAAGACGTGATTTACGTCAAAATGGACCCCCAGCCCGCTGAGACCGAGACTTATCGGCCTGAAGAGCCTGCGGATATGACGGTCTCCGAGGGGTCGCAGGCGCAGTAGTGTCTACACTTGACCGCAGGCCAGGCTGTGGACAAGTGAGGGCCCTCTTTTGAGGGCGGGTATTGATGGTGGACAGTACATAGCAGTGCTGTCAACGTTTGCCATAAACGCCTAGTTCACTCCTGAGCTGTAGAGGCGGTTCATTGATCTACCCACCGACGGCTTTGATGCTCCGGATGACAATATTTGAAGCGGCTGGGGCGGAGAGAACATCAACATCTTATAGAGCAATGCGTTTCGGATCTCGCGAGATGGGTCCTTGTGTAAGATTAGTTAGTCAATTACTCTATGAATAAGCCCAAAAGCCCTCTATGTATGGGGCTGTCGGTGCGGTAAATAGGTAGCTTTCTTGCTTGCTCAGTGCTTGCTGAGCATGAGACAAGATCGTTGCGTTTCCCTTAGTTCCTTTCTTGCCCCATGTATGTGATGTGGGTATAACTTCGACGGTTCCAGTGTGACACTCCATCCAGGCCTTTCTTTCTTCTTCCCTTGTGGCTGCTGGGACTCTTTGGCGACCAAATCTTGCTGATAGTATCATCGAGGTTCGTGTTTTCGCAGGGTTTGAGGCAAATCCTCATCCGGCTGGACCGTGTATCTCGGCTCTCCTCGTTGTTGGTTTGTTTCCGGGAGGTCGTGCTTTTAAGCGGTTCAAGATCATGATATGCCGATGGACGTCTTCTTCACCGCATCAATGCGATTGCCCCGTATCTCCGAGGCCATGTGTCCCCCCAGACCGGTACCCGATTCCCTCCCCTTGGCTCACCGAGCTGTTGAATATCGTCCCTGGTCGATCGATCAATCGCTCACTCAGCCGGCCTTTCCTCTTGCCCCTTTCTTCCCCGATCCCCTCCTCATTATCACTCCAACTTATCCAAATGCTCCAACCTTGTCAACACCACTTGCTTACTCGTCTCCTCGATCTCGCCCGCCAGAAACACCTCGTCCAGGATCGCGTACACCTTGTAAAAGTTGAACACCAGGTCCAGCTCGCACACGTTGCCGAAAAAGCTGTCCAGCACCTCAACGAAGAAATGGATCGCTTCCAGGTAGGCGAGCTCGTTGTCGTTGGTGTCGACGCAGGCGCAAAAAAACAAACCGGCGTAGCGCCGGTAGACGACCTTGTGGTTGCGGAACTCGACGAAATTGGATTGGTATTTTTGGTCGCGGGGGGCTACTAGGCGGTGGATCTGGACAAGAGGGGGGAGTCAGAGGGGGTTTTTGAGAATGGGGAGGGAGCAGATGGGGAGGCAAGGTGGGACAGGGGGGAAAACTGTGATGTACGTACCTCGCCCTTGAGCTTGATCTTCTCTTCGTCGCTGTAGGGGACGTACCACTTTGCTAGACGGGTTTTACCCCTTTTTGTTAGGCGCATGTTAGTCGGGGAAGCTGATGTACGAATATGATGTCTGTCGGTGTATTGCGCATTCGACTTTGCGACTTTGCGACGCATGATGCGCCTTGATGTGATGTAGAAGTGTAGGTCGGAAAGGTCCCTAGGTCCGTAGGTAGGAGACGACAGGACAGGAAATCGTACGTACTGTCGGTTCTGGATGAGAATGAATGACAACATGGTTGCGAATTACTTTTTTGCGACAGGCGGCTGTGTGGGATGAAGCAAAGCCGAAAACAATAAACAGAATAGGTAATCGAACAGAGTAAACCGAACCGCGAGATCCGCCGTTGCTTTGGACTGACTGCCCGGCACTAGAACCGCGTGGTACTGGGTTTTCACATGCGTTGCCCGGGACCGGCTAGTCGTACAACGAGAATCGACCGATGGGAAACAGAAGAGAATGGCGCTTGTGTGTGTGTGTGCAAATGATTGTAAATGATTAGATAGGTACGGAATATGGAATTGTCAGCGGTGATGTCGAAGTCCCGTCGTCCTCTGGGATGAGCCGCGTTCGAGCCGCCCAGGGGTTGAGTGGGGCCCGAGCTTCCTTTGAAGTTCGAACGTCCATCGAGGTGCTCGTTCACACGCAGCGAGCGGCAGGCGGAAGGGAGGGACCCCTGTTTTCCTGTGATGCGATCTGATAGGGGGAACTTCTTGGCGCCTAGAGAAGCTTATCGATAGCAACTCCCTTGCCCGCCCAGGCGCCGCGTCTTCACGTGTCGCGGTGCGACTGGGTTCGACATATTCTGGTGGTTGGTTTCTCGTTTTCAACGCGGTGCTGTTCGAGTCCAAACTTTGATCGATCGAAGGGAGTCGGAAGTCGGGAGTCGGGACCACTGGGGACCACAGAAGTACGAACCTTGGCAATATTGGCAAGGTCCGATTAGCCACTGGGGTGGGTGGCGCCCCGTTCTTTGGGCCGAATGCAGTGCACATGGCAAGCTGAAGCCGAGGACTACCGTTCGGAGGGGACCCATTTTCAACTTTCTTAATTCCATCCCAACCTCCATCACGCCCGTCCATTGACTTGGACGCGAACAACAACAACAACAACAACAACTGCTGCTGCTGCCCGGTGCATGCCGTTCGTTTCATTGCATTAGCTCTTATTTCTGTATACGTCTTGTATCCCCTTAGGTACAACCGAGTCCACGGTTTCTACGAGCACGACCTCTACGACCAAAGAATCCCCAGATCTTGGATGCGACAGACCTGGCTCCCACCCACCCTTTCCCTTCCCGGGCCCGGCGAGGGCTTACCCCATTGTCAAGATGACCGAAAATAGGAGAGTGGCCAAGGACATTATGTCCGGTTTGCTCATCGCTGCAACAGTATGAATGAACTCCGCTAGTCAAGAGAAACCCCGCTGACACACTGCGCGCCAGACAATATCCGTATACTTCATCTTCCGTGACTACGTCGCTCCCCACGTCGCAAAGCTTATCGACCCCGACCGTGCTAAGCATGACCAAAACCTCCTAAGAGCCCAACAGAACCTGGCCAGGTTACAAAAGTCACGAGACGACTCCAAGACTGCCAGCGACGAGTTCGCTGACGACGAGGTCGTCGATGATTCACCACCTGCTCCGCGGGTCGAGGACCTCGTCCTTAACGAGTACGAAAGCCAGGTAGCTCTGGAAGTGGTTGCGCCCGAAGACATCCCGGTTGGTTTCGACGATATTGGTGGTTTGGACGAGATCATCGAGGAAGTCAAGGAAGCCATCATCTACCCACTCACGATGCCGCAACTCTACTCACACGGTGGCACTCTACTATCTGCGCCATCGGGCGTTCTTCTCTACGGCCCTCCTGGTTGCGGAAAGACCATGTTGGCCAAGGCTGTGGCACACGAGAGCGGCGCTTCGTTCATCAACCTGCATATCTCGACTCTTACGGAAAAGTGGTACGGCGACTCCAACAAGCTTGTTCGCGCCGTGTTTTCGCTTGCGCTCAAGCTACAGCCGGCCATCATCTTCATTGACGAGATCGATGCCGTTTTGGGAACAAGGAGAAGCGGAGAGCATGAGGCTAGCGGCATGGTTAAAGCCGAGTAAGTGATGACCCTTTACTTTAAAAAGAGCGCCATGTGTAACCTTGGGCTTCCCGGAGCTAACCTTAAAACCACAACCGCCAGGTTCATGACTCTTTGGGACGGTCTTACATCTACCAACGCGCTCGGTCAGCCTGCCAGGATTATGGTTCTTGGCGCAACCAACCGCATCAACGACATCGACGACGCCATCCTCCGCAGAATGCCCAAGAAGTTCCCCGTCCCATTGCCGGGCAAGGACCAGCGCCGGCGCATCCTCGAGCTCGTCCTCGCCGAAACAAAGATGGATCCCGAGTTCGATTTGGAATACATCGCTCTGGTCACAGAAGGTATGTCCGGCAGCGAACTCAAGGAGGCGTGCCGTGATGCGGCCATGGTCCCCATGAGGGAGGCTATCCGGAACCAAAAGGCCGCTGGAAAGTCGATAAAGAGGCTGGACCCCAGCAAGGTGCGTGGTCTGCGCACAGGGGATTTCTTTGGTCGCAAGGGTGGCGCGCCCAGTCTGGCAGCGGACAGCCGCCCCAGCTCCGTCAGGCCAGAGGCGGCGACAAGCGCGAGGGAGATCTATGAAGTCGACACTGAAACCGAGGACATTCTGTCTTGAGTGATGTGTGGTGGCAGTGCCCGCCGAAAAGTGGGAATCGCAAAAGACACAAAGTGCCAGCCAAGCAGGCAGCATTTAGTGTAGGATCAAAGGACAGCGAAGCTTTTGGAAAGGAAAGCATCACGAGCGTCATATGATTATTTCAAAAAGACTTGTTATAGGGCATTTGTTATGACCAGGTAGAGGAATAGGAAACAGTACACACTACAAGACATGGCATATCAGAATGCGGAGGCGCAGTTTATTGAATCGGATAGAACTCTCACCTTTTACTGGTAGCCTTGCTTCGTATCTCCGGGCTTATCTTAGTTTCTGGAAGTCTCATGGAACGATTCGAATCGGTCCTACCCGTGTGTGACCCAGGAACCAATACATATCACCGAAGTCCGACCTTTCCAGGCAGAATTCGCGGTCCGAAGCAGTAAAGGTTCACGGAGGAAGTCCTGTCCGAAGTCCTTTCGAGTCCTATATATACAGCCTCGTTCCCCATGATGTTCTTATGCGGCAGAGACAACATGGCGCTCAAGCCATTCAAGGCTGTGCAGAATGTCGATGGTTGCCCGGCCTGGCTGTTGATTTGTCTGTTCCTGTGCCTGACCGGTCTGTCTGAGGCTTCGAGGCTTCAATGTGACGACTGCTCGAATCCTTCAGCTGTTTACCTGAAACCGAAATGGAGGCTGCAATATCTATAGTCTCTTCGGTCAACCAAAACAAGACAATACTTTCCCCCTAACACTCACAGAAAACAAAACGCCGATTGAAGTATACATACATACTCGGCCTGTTTCGTTTCGGTCTCCCGTTCTGTTTTCAATCTTCTGTGAACTTCAGTTCTGAATGATGAATGTACAGTAGGCGAACGGCTGGGGGCCAAGCACGTCATTCCCAAAGCCCCACAACAGTATAAACCCCAGCAGATAGCAGGGTACTTCATGGGGCGGCGAGACGTGGCGGGCGGGTGGGGTACCTTGCCATCGTGTGGATCCCGGCTTTGTGTCTCAATGCGACACTGGGCTGAAGGTGGAGCCACATTGCAACGCCGATGGTCGGACAAGGAACGGTAGAGACGGTAGAGACGGTAGACACAACGATAAGGGACATTCGCCGTGTTGTCGCAAAGGATGGCGAATTTGGCTGGCCGCTGGAGAGATATTATCCGATAATCCGGCTGGGGGTTTGGGATACCAGGGCGAGGTTTGTGTTTACTTGCGATGTCGATATAAGTGTAAGAGGTGTTTGGAAAAGGAGGTTCCTGCTGTCACTGATGTGGATATCACTACGTAACTGTATAAGTGGCCCAGATGTTGGGATGATTCAAACTGCTGGCACAATTCGTTTGGATGCCGGATGAAAGAAAACAAAGCAAAACACAAAAGACAAGAAGCGGTCGAGGACTGCAACTGCCCTCTGAGCGAAATGGATGGACGGCTGCAACTGCCTGCTGCAAGGGACCACAATTTGTAGAGGTAGTGTAGCTTCTGTCCTCGGCACCAATGTACATAGCGCTGGACGGCAACAGCAACATGGAGTCACTTATTCCGCTTACAGACTTGGCACGGGGAAGGGAAAAAATAAGGATAAAATCGATTATTTACCACGTGACATCTGCGCTGTTAGCGACGCTCATCAAAACGTGATGCACTAACACAACATGCGCCGTGCTACGACACTGCATAATAATATTACTAGCTTCTTATAGAACTTCGTGCAATTTTAGTAATTAATTGAAGATATTTAGACAATGTGCCTTGAATTTTCAGCGATAAAACTACTGTTATTTTAGAATAATTACAGTTATTAGGCGAAATTATTATATAGTATTATTATACTTACTGTAATATACTATAAGTATAGTCACCTCTTAGAAAATAATTTATATACCTGTATTCTAACTAACTCGCGTCTATCTTATTTACTTTTCCACTTATCTTATGACAAGCTAGGGTGCATATGTCCAGACAGCTAAACTTACAAAAAATAGGATGATGTTTTGCTTGCAAGGCAGAACTTGGAATTGCACACTATGTAGCTAATGCCAACCTGTGACATATCTCTATATAACTACATTCTACAAGTTACATCGCTACTACTTCCTCTTATTACTATTATTACTACTACAACAACTCTATTACTACTATAAATTAAGAATTTGAATTTATTAAAGAAATTTTAAAAATAAAGTATCAATAATTCGCAATACTTAAACGTTAACGTTACCAAAATAGCAATTCTTAACGCGCTTATAAGTACTACTTATATTAGCGAAGAAGATATGGTTCTTCCCGCTACTACCGACGCTTTAATTATAGGCTAAATTATAAATATAAAATTAAAAGAAGCCGTGTTCCTATTAAATATTAGACTTCTAGAAGACTATAGTATTTCCTTTTCTTTTTCTTTCTCATGAATACTCACTTGCATTATTGACTAATTAAGTACGATTTTTCTTATTTTAAATTATTCCAAATATTTCCCAGCCCCGCTATTTCCTAGCTCTCTTAGTAGTAATATTTTGAATATATAATAATAATTTTACTTGATTTCTATAAGTGCCAAATAACGTTAAATAAATAAAATAAAAAGTATTTACGTTGTAGAAACTTATCCAATTCACATTTTAATAAGAAGCAAATGAAATATTAGGATCTTATAAATAATGTTTAACCCCCTAATAATAAAGTACGCCCGCCGGTGGAAAATAATGAATTTATTACTTAATATTAGCGGTACCTACTTTATGTAATTACTTTAAAAAAAAACAGAAAGTATCATTAAAAAGAGTTACATTATAAACTCTTCCGTTTCCGTTTTCATTATTTAAATATTATATTATTTCAATTACGAAACTTCCACCTTCTTATAAAAATTAAGTTTCTATCTTATAAACAAAATATATCGCTAATAATCTACCGCAATTAAAAAAGTATTCTATTACGCGTTTTTAGAATATTACGTTCTTAATAGTTTTATTAAATAGCAAATTTCAATTACTATCAATCCTAATAATAAGTGTTTTCAATTTCAATGAATTGATTATTAATATAATTTCTTAGAAACCAGCTACTTAGGTTGCAACGCAATTTACGAATTGCTTTAATGCACTTTTTATTAGAAGGGTATATGTGACGGCTGGCATCATCTAGGCTGTCACATGCCTGCCATCAAGGCTCCCATTTACATGGGTGCTGTTCAATCAGGTCATCCTATTCACGGGTTTGGCTGTCACTGGTTGTCGCCTGTGGTTTGGGTATAAAACTTAGCTCTAGCATCGAGGGTTCCCTTTTGGGATTTCTTCCCTCTTCAGCTTCTTATTCTTAGTCCAAGATAATCAAATCGTACACAACGTGTCTTCTGGTTACGCCGTGACAATATATATAATAACGCTCGCTTATTTTATAAAAGGTATTTATTATACGTTAAAACAAATCTTTTAAGGAGAAGAAACGCTAGATTTTTAAAGTTAATTACTATTATACTGGTATTATAAAGTATAATTTTGATTAATTATATTACTCTACTACTTAATAATATTTATTTGAATAAAACTTTTAAATATACTAACGTTATTATAGACCGCTTTACCAAAATACAGTACCATATCCCTATTATAAATTAAGAAATAAAAGAATTCGTAAATTATTTTATTAATTAAATTTATTGGTTTGGTAGCCATTTTGATAGTATTCTATATGATAGAAGTATGTGTCACGGCGCTGGCGGACCACTACATCACTAGGCTATGTTCCAAAAGAATACAAGTAACCGAAGCTGGCAATTCGGTTGCTCAAGTGGTCTTATATAGTTGTGATGGCAGTCGAGAGGCACAACTGCAAGGCTGCCATCACAGTATATAATTTATATTATGATTTTAACTTTTGTTTAATAAATGCTTTGTTATTATTTGAAAATCTCCGTTAATTTTCTATCTTTGAATTAATACTTAAATTGAATATATTAATACAGACATAGAGTAGTTTTTGAAAATTTCTATTATTTGGATATAGAATAACTAGGTAAAGTACTTACTAGGAATTGAAATTTAGAAGTAATGATATAATATGATTAATTATTAGTATGTTTCTTTTGTTTATTTATTACAGATATTACTTATATACAAGTATTGTCACAGGTTGACATTGGCTATATAGTGTGCATTCCGAGTTCTGCCTTGCAAGCAAAACATCGTCCTATCTTTTGTAGGTTTGGCCGTCTGAGCATATGCATCCCAGCCTGTCATACAGTCGTAGAATAGTTAAAATACTATATTTAACAAAGAAAGAAAAGGAAGACTGTACTGGAAGAGTGTAATCGAAAGAAGATTTTATTTGCCTCTATACTAAACGAGCGCACGGACGGCAAATATAGAAATTTAGCAAACTAGACCGCGTATATCTTTATCGATAGGCACTAGTGTTTTAACATACCTTAGCATACAACCAAGGCTCACCATTAGGCATTTAGCCTCATGTGTGACGAACGACAGTTTAATCTGCCTAAGTAGGATAGCGGAAGGTAATAACTATCAGTGCTGTTTGGTGAAGCTAAAAGGTTCACAACAAGTATGTTCGTAATACTGATCTCGGTGATAATAGTCTATTAACTACTGTCGAACTATCTAACAATCCAAGTTCTCCAGTCGTCCTTTTATATCTCTTCGTCCTTCGCGAGATATCTGTTTCCGGATGTTCACGCAACCGTGAACCTCTAGTGTGTGGTGATAGGTTCGCGAGCTCACTCCCGTAGTATTAAGCCTTTCTGTCTTTGGGATTGCACAGTTCTAGCCTTTTTGGGTTAGTTAGGCTACCAGCGTCTTGATTGGCCCATGTGTTCTCTTAAGTTCGTAACGTCATGAGAGTATATATTTAAAAGAGAATCTGTTAACCACATTATTAAATATAATTTAAAAATAGCTATTTATATTTAATAAAATTAAATTCTAACGCTTTAATTACTAACTTACAAAACTTATTATTATTAAAGGATATACTTATAGAATTTCCATATTGAGGGCAATTAATAGTGGGCAATACTTTTTAAAGTAATTATCGAAGCAATATTAAAAACAATAAAAGATTGTAAATAGCTTTATTTTATTGCCAACTTTTTAATCAAATTATCCAATGCAGCTAGGAGAGTATATTAGAAATAAAAGTTCACAAGAGTACTAATACAACCTATCTTATATAATCTAGTGGGTTGGTTATACAGTCAATTACCCAAATTTTCAGTGCGGGGTTTACTGGACACAGATTTCTACACAATACACAGTCTTGTCACCACATCGATTTGACCCCTGCACGTGCTCATATTCTACAGGGAACCAGGGGGACAATCTGGATCTTTAACTCGTCCAACCGGGGAGTCACTACTGGCACGACATCGCCCCGAATCCGCCGTTGCCCGTCGAAGTCGGTTTCGTCTTATAAACTGTCCCTGGTTTCGCCATTTTTTTTCTTTAACCTCTTCTTCTCTCTTCTTGCATGTTTATAATCGACGATCAATAATAACTATACCCTCTAACTCCCCGACTCAACTCGGATTTGTATGACCCGTCCTCCCACCAAGACTTTAACGTCCAGCTACCAACCTCAATTGCCCCTCCATCCAGGCCCAGGTCCACGTACCACCACCAGCATCTCCAGATCCACAACAAACCTCCGTTCTTCGCTCCTGCCGCCGCATATCGCCTAGACCTAACCCATTCAAAGACCGACAGACCGCTTTGACTCATCACACCATCGGCATCTACCCGTTCTATCCCAGCCATACCTTCCATACTACCGGTACTACGCCAGCAGAAATAGCAGTAACACCAACACCGAGAAGCTATACAGAAGCGGTAACAGCTTCTACAACCTTTTCACCACCAAACCACATCTTCACACACACGGCAACAATGTCGACTCCCAACAGTGACAGCCCGGCCGCGCAAGCCGCCAAGAAGGTCTTCTCTCGTCTAGATCTTGACGGCCACCACCTCCCGCCATCACCCGCGCCCTCGAGCCCTCACAATGGCCGGAGAAGATATGCGCTCGCCACCGAGCTTGTCTACACCGAGACCAAGGACCAGTATGGCGCTTCGAGCATCCCCATCTACCAGTCCGCCACCTTCAAGCAGTCGTCCTCCAACGGTGGCAGCGAGTACGACTACACCCGCTCCGGCAACCCGACCCGCACCCATCTTGAGCGCCACTTGGCCAAGATCATGAATGCGAACCGCTGCTTGTCCGTCAGCTCCGGCATGGGCGCTCTCGACGTTATCACCCGCCTGCTGAAGCCCGGCGATGAGGTCATTACTGGCGACGACCTGTACGGCGGTACCAACCGCCTCCTGACCTACCTCAAGAACAACCAGGGCGTGGTCGTTCATCACGTCGACACCACCAACGTCGAAAGTGTGCGCCAGATCATCACCCCCAAGACCGCCATGGTCCTGCTCGAGACTCCCACGAACCCTCTTATTAAGATCTGTGACATCCCCACGATCGCGCGCATCACGCATGAGGCCAACGAGAAGGCCGTTGTCGTTGTTGACAACACCATGCTCTCGCCCATGCTGTTCAACCCGCTCGACGTGGGCGCCGACATCGTCTACGAGTCGGGCACCAAGTACCTCTCGGGCCACCACGATATCATGGCGGGTGTCATCGCCGTCAACGACACGGAGCTGGGCGACAAGATGTTCTTCACCATTAACGCCACCGGCTGCGGTCTCTCGCCCAACGACTCCTTCCTCCTCATGCGCGGCGTTAAGACCCTGGCCATCCGCATGGAGAAGCAGCAGGCCAATGCGCAGCGCATCGCCGAGTTCCTCGAGTCGCACGGCTTCAAGGTGCGCTACCCTGGTCTCAAGTCGCACCCGCAGTATGATCTGCACTGGTCGATGGCCCGCGGCGCTGGCGCCGTGCTGTCGTTCGAGACTGGCGATGTGGCGCTGAGCGAGCGCATTGTCGAGGCCGCGAGGCTCTGGGGTATCTCCGTCAGTTTCGGCTGCGTGAACTCGCTCATCAGCATGCCCTGCCGCATGAGCCATGCATCCATTGATGCCAAGACGCGCGCCGAAAGGCAGATGCCCGAGGACATCATTCGGTTGTGCGTTGGTATTGAGGATGCCGATGATTTGATTGACGATTTGTCGCGTGCTGTAAGTTTTTACCTGTCCCCGTCAGCGTCGTTTCATTGACGAATTGACACTAACCTAATTCGTACGACAGCTTGTTCAAGCCGGTGCTGTTACTCTCACGATAGATGGCTTCCACGCTAACACCGCGGAAGGCGCTGCCGCTGAGACCGCTGCTGCTCCTTCTGCTTAGAGGAAGACAGAAGGGAAATGAAAGCACGTTTTATACCAATTTTGCTGTTGCTTCTTCTCGCGTGTCGTGGTTTTTTTCTTAGACAGATATGAGACCCAAGGAAGAGGAAAAGATCTGGCAGGTCTGTTTACTGTATTTGTATGGGGTTGGACCGGGATGCCATGTGCGTTACATTTTTATACCAGATGAAAGGGAATATGGGGAGAAGGAAACAATCTCATGGGACGGTTATTCTTACATGGGTTGAATGGATGAATGAAGGGTTGGATTAGACCGGCTAGGTGTTACAGACCTGAAGTTGGGTTGAGACGATATGCAATGAATGAGATGAAGGACAGATAGGACGGGGATCGCCCGTCATCTGAGGGTGATATGGAATAGAAAGGAAGTCAAGACCAACTGAATCATCACCTTGAAGCCAACTTCACCATTGATAAAAGGTGTTTATGCTCCCTGATTTACCATTACCTGTCACCCGGCAAGATGGATGCCCAAATAGACCTTGCTCAGACTTAGTTGATAAGTATGAATAGAAAAGAACACGAGAGAAACAAACGAAATAACATCGTTGCCCAGGAAATGAAAGTAAACAGTTGTACAATGGCTCGAGTGAAGATCCGTCGTTGACAATAGAGCCAGAAAAAAAAGCGAGAGAAACAAGAGACAAGCAATCTCCAACGGCTTGGGACAACTCAACACCACTACAACGCTACACTAACTCTGCGTTTCCACTCAAAGACACCCAACAACATCAAACCCAACTTTGCGAGTCCGTTACAGAGCATCATAAAAAGGCTAATAAAGTCTCGTCCATGACTGAAAGGTTGAGATCCTTTTAAGCATGGGCAGTAGACGCAAGGTTTCGGGCTTCTGGCGCTTTGGGAAGGTAGTACGAAACAAGCCACCCGCCCATCCATGTTCGAGCCGTGTTGTATGTTGTTCATTCAGGTGCGTGTATGAGGCTGAGAAGATTTACGGGTAGAAAGGGGAGGGGCTGATGAGCTGAGCGTGAGCCGAACGGGGACCGAACGGAAGCCAGAGGGCTGGGATGGGAGCCGAAAGGAAACGAAAGGTTGAGACGGGTTGGGACGGGTTGGGACGGGAGCCGAACCGAGACCGAAGGGTTGAGACGGAACGGAGCTGGGCAGGGTAAGATACCCGACCTATCGCTGAAGACTGCCTACCGTCGGGGGTATCTTGGCCCCAGTGTCCGAAGGTTGAGGAAGACGAAGGGGAGGAGAAGATGATGGGAAAGAGCGAAAGAGCTAGCTAGCTAGCCCTCGTAAGGGAAAGTTGGAAACTTAACTGTATGAGAGAGCAGGCCCTGTGTGAGAGTGTGGCTCTAAGGCACGTAGATGTAGATGTAGTGTTGAGATTCAGGTATGCATGGAATTTATTCAGGATTACCACAGGTCAAAGGGGCCATGTAACACAGAGCTTAGATGAGATTACAGGATATAACAAGGGTGATGAGATATGGACACTCCCTTCATGAGGGGTAGAAGCTGGCAAGATGATATGGTATGGTAAAAAGTTGAGGCACTGTCACATCGATAGCGACCGACTTTGCAGAGAGCACCATTGTTTCACACATCAGAGGTCGATGGAGATTAGAAAACGGTGCCAGGTATGGTGAAAGGGGATGGATAAGGGATGAAAAAAAGAGATTCATTAGACGACGCTGCCTCAGGAATAATAACAAAAAGAAGAAGAAAAGAAAACATCGTAACCTCTCCAGGGGGTATCCATCGATTAGACAAGGAAGTAAGCTCAGTTCCAACCCAGTCCAGTCCAGTGCTCATGCACTCTCCAGTCAGAAAGCCCGAAATCCCTTCTCTCTCTCTCGGCCCGGTCCAGCGCCATCTCAGCTTCGCCTCCCTTCCCGAGAAACAAAAAGCCATCCGTAGGTCACACATAGGCGTAACTCGCACCGTTCGTTGTTGTACACATATACGAAGTTTGTTGCCACCGCCATGCTTTCCCATGCTTGTTGTGCCATGCCTACCATGTCTACCATGCCTGTGCCATGACGGGACAGGAGTGGCAGACATGGAAGCTCAGGGGTTGGTTGTGGCGGCAAGGGAAAAAGACAGGAAAGAAAAAAAGAAAAAGGGAAGGAATAATCCACTAGATAGAGAAGGAGTTTCGTGCCCTCGTACGCCCATTCGTTCCACAAGCAACCTGCGCGATTAGACGCCCCTTGACCGCCTTGACAGCCTGCTTTCATCTCCTGCACTCGACGTTGGTCCTCGCTTTCTCCGTAATGTCCTCCACTCAAATTCGCTGGATTCTCTCCCCGCAATCTGCTGCAGTGAATGCCCGAGACCGTTATCCGTGGTGATACATGTTGTGCGCGCTGCTTAGCTGCTTCTTGTGTTTGCGTCCGAATCCCGGGTCCAGACAGCTAGGAGACTGTCAAGAAGCAGTAGAAAGCCAGCAGGGAGCCCATCGATTCTGACACGAGGGTGAAGTCTCGAGAATCCACCATTTATCGTGTGCCCTTTCCCCTACCCCTACCATCTGGTTAGCCGCCCGTGACACTCGAGTCGTGTGTCCAGCCCTACCTGTCAGTCTGAGCACCAGCGAGTTTCCGAATTCCCCTCTCTTTACTTCTCTTTTCTTCTGCCCCCTACTTCGGTTCCTGTCTCTTTCTGGTTGACGTCAAGATCACCCTCGATGTGTGGTACTTTTCGTATCCATCTCTGGTGAGCTGAAAACCGAGGGTATCGATCAGTAAGAAACAAACAATAACGCTGTAAAAAAGCTGTGAAGGTTAGTGAGATCAGAGAAGTCAGTGAAAGCCAACAGGGCTTGCGCGATAGGTAAATGTCAGTTGCAGTGAGGTAACATACCTGACAAATCCCCCTACCCAATCAGTCTTCCGCACTTTATTCCGTCTCACCTCTATAACCTACCACTCCCGCTGCCCCTGGCCTGCCCAATAAGCGTCTCGTTGATAGGCAAGTTGCTCCGATTTCGCTCCTCCTGCCAGCGAACCAGCATGGGGTTGACAGTTGTGCTTGTGTTAGGGGTGGTGTTGTGAATGTGGTTTCCATTGCTGTGATTGACGGGTGACGAGTTGTTCTGGTCCTGCTGCTGTTGGGAGGAGGAGCTGTTTGAAGAAATTATGGTGAGGCCATGAACAACACACCCACGCTTGTATCCTTCCCTTTCCATCTCTCTACCTGTTACAAAACACATTCGTACAAACATCATCCCAGCCCTCTTCCCATTTCACCTTGCAAAAGCAGAGGATGTGGTGGCACCAACCCTTGAAGACCAGCATCGGTAGCTGCTGGACAGTTGTCTCCCACAGCGTGAGGCATGGTTCTTTCCGCGGGAGCTTGGATTGCTCTGAGAAAGGGGGTGAATCGTCGAGTGGCTTGTGTGGCGGTGGTCGAGACCGAGTGGCTGATCGGCGTGGTAGTTGCTATGAAGATCCCAGTACTGCAGATGACAAGAGGATGGCTTGGTCTATCCGTTGTGATATATGCTGGTTGGTGAACTTAATAACGAGATCATGAGCGGTGGGTTTGTAGTCGAATTCTTGGGTAAGGCAAAGAATGTGATGAAGCTGTTCCTGCTGAGAGCTAGCTTCTGACTTTCCCCTCTCATGGTGGGCGATTCCGGCTTTTATAGCAGAAACTACACAGATCTCGCAGGAACCAAGAATCTTCACGTCCATGTTTAGATCGTGAAGTCTCGTCGCTGCTGTCATCATCCCCCGAATGGTCAGCGGCTATCAATGAGCATCAATCAACAAGCTTGGGGCCGGAGGGTGATGGGCAATGCAGACATAACGCCCAATTCGGATCCAAACTTTACCGGTAATCTAACCGTGCATAAATTCTTCGTACCTATGGTCACGCGGTCAGTCATCATAGACAGGAAGACGGAGAGGATGTGGGAGATTATGATCAAGGCCAAGGCCTATCGCAGAAAGCCCCCACCACACTCGGTCAAGGTACATCTCGAGTCGATACACCTCGATGAATAAGGCACCTTCTCCCTCAGTCCCTGACCTGGCTGTACATGCAGTTTGACCACTGGCTAGGGTTGTGTTGGTACCTTGGCGATAAGGAGAAATTTTCGTAGCAGAGTACTACCTCCTTCGAATCCCTCTGCCAGGTTGTAGATGGCCGACCTCGGTAGTAGTCATCGTCCCTTTATCTATACTGTTTCGGTGTGGGTACGCGACAGTAAGTAGTTAGCCGACATATACAGCTTTCAACAGAAGCAGGGCAGAGAATGAAGTGTTGAAAGAAGACCACCTACCGGCGTGATCTTGTAGTGTGAAGTATCCGGGAAAGATTTTCATCACTCCATCCTCTTCTTAACATCACCCCACGCTTCCCCTGCAGGCTCCATGTTAGATACCACACGTGTGACCCAGGAAGCTGGAAAGTTGTGGATGAATCCTACATCGCCGTTCTGGTGTTGCTGTGATCAATGTTGTGCTTAGAGGCAACAGGGAAGGTACTGGCAAAGCCTAGCAATCGAGACCTTGAAAGACGGGCTTGCTGTATCCTTGTAGGTTAGTACTTTACCAGGCAGGGTAATTTGCTTTCACTTAGAGACCTTTGTGTCATGCCGGGGCGCTCCGTGTCTCTAGCATCTCCGATGTCCAGTTTTCCGCACCCTCGCAAAGCCTCTGTGTTTCGTGTCCTCCTGTCATTCTTCACCTCCACTTACATCAAGTCCCTGTGACACTACTTCCTTGCCTCAGGGTATATGGCTCTGTATTGAACGTGTCAAATCCATGCGGGACTGGAGTGCAGAATGGAGGATATTTGCGCCAAGGGTGACCGCATGTAGTTACTGAAGCAAGATAATGGACTCCAAGTCGTCGGCTCGGTAGATGCTCGTTGTCAGACGGAAAAATGCTCACCTGAACGTTTTGTTATGCCCCTTCATAAATGCCGTTATCGGAATTCAAATCGAGCCCGCTATATCCAATCTCAGGAACATTGCGTGATGAGATTGATTATGCCAGCAAGATG